TTCTGGGGGGGGGGGGGGGGGCGGTGCCACTGCAGGTGGGGAGGGGCGAGGGCGGCGGCATATGCCCGTTCTCGGAAGTGTCTCGGCAGGCTCTCGGAAGTGTCTCGGCAGGCTCTCGGCAGGTTCTCGGAAGTGTCTCGACAGGCTCTCGGAAGTGTCTCGGAAGTGTCTCTGCACCGGGCCGGCCGTCGCCCCCCCAACTCCCTTCGCACGCAGCGCGTTCCACTCCCCGAAGCGAGCGCCGTGGAAGAGGGCCCCTTGCCTGCGGAGCGAGCAGCGGGGAGTGGAACGCGCTGAGGCCGCAAAGAGGGGGGGGGGGGTAATTAAATTTTAATCGCCAGCGGAGCTACGGCGCGCGAGGCCGAGGGCACGCGTCTTAATTATTAGTAATGAATGATTAATTATCGCGCGAGGCCGAGGGCACGCGTCTTGCCGCGGGCGCGCTAGAGAAGGGCCGAGATGTGTTCGGTTTTGGGCATCGAGGAGGAAGGAAGGAAGGAAGGAAGGAATCAGAAGGGCCGAGAGGTGGCATCCTCGAGCATCTAGGCCGCCCTTGCCCCTTCCTCGCCAGCGAGGCGTACCCCACCTGCAGGGAGGCGAATCCACAAGGTCCACGCAAGGCATCCTAGCGGGCCGCGCCCAGAGGGGGGGCGTCCTAGCGTCCTATGGCGATGCCGACGGCGGCGGTGGCGTTGGCGGCGACGCCAACGGTGGCGGTGGTGATGGGCGATGTTGGCGGCGGCGGAGACGGTGGTGGCGGCGGAGACGGTTTTGGCGGTGGAGACGGTGATGGCGGTGGTGGCGGCGAGATGTGGATGGCGGTGGCGAATGGAGACAGCGATGATGGCGGTGGAGTCTCGCCGGCTCGATCTCGCGTCATCTCGGGTCATCTCGCGTCATCTCGCGTCATCTCGGGTCATCTCGGGTCATCTCGCGTCATCTCGGGTCATCTCGCGTCATCTCGCGTCATCTCGGGTCATCTCGCGTCATCTCGCGTCATCTCGGGTCATCTCGCGTCATCTCGCGTCATCTCGGGTCATCTCGCGTCATCTCGCGTCATCTCGCGTCATCTCGCTGCATCTCGCGTCATCTCGCGTCATCTCGCGTCATCTCGCGTCATCTCGCGTCATCTCGGGTCATCTCGCGTCATCTCGCGTCATCTCGCGTCATCTCGCGTCATCTCGGGTCATCTCGCGTCATCTCGCGTCATCTCGCGTCATCTCGGGTCATCTCGCGTCATCTCGGGTCATCTCGCCGGCTCGAGCTCGAGAGTCGGATCGACGCGGCAGATCGAGGCGTGGCCTCCGCGCGCGCGCACGAGCTGCGCGCCGCCCTCGCCTAGCCAAGAAAACGCCGCGCTCAACAACGAAAACAGTCGCCGCGAGCCGCGCGCCGCCCTCGCCGGCGCGCAGCTCGAGCAGCGGCTGCCGCGCCGCGGCCCCCGCGAGGGCCAGCAGACCCTCAGCTGTCGCGCCGAGCGCGCCTGAAAACGAACGCTTGCGGGCGTGAGAGAGAGAGTTTTGTGGGACGAGCGGCTCGGGCCTCTGCTGCTCAATGAGGCCTGAACAAGAAGGTCTGCGATCCCAAGAGAGGTGGGACGAGCGGCGCGGGCCTCTGCTGCTTCGGAGGCCGAGCGTGGTGCAGGACGCGAGCGGCGCGAGCAGAGTGAAGCCGTCGGGGCGGAGGCGCGGCGGGGCCCGCTCGCCACGCACCGCCTCGCCGCGCAGCAGCCGCAGCAACGCCTCGGTCATCGGCTCCGCGGCCGCGGAAACGGCTGCCGCCGCGCCGCCGTCGCCGCCGTCGTCGTCGCGAAGCTTGAAGACGCGCGTCGACTTGCCAAAGACGAGCGAGCGGCCGGCGGCGAGCAGGTGCGGCTTGCGCGGCTCGATTGGCTTGCCCGAGATGTAGGTGCCCTGCGCGGAGCCGAGGTCCGTCACGACGACCGAGCCGGACGCGGAGACGGTGAGCGTCGCCTGCTCGCGCGAGATGGAGGCGTGCGTGAGGAGGATGTCGGCGACGCCCTCCTGCCGCCCCACCGTGTAGCGCCGCTTGCTCGCACTCAGGGCGATGGTCTCGACGATCTCGCCGCCCTTGTAGACGTCCAGGTGTGGCATGAGCGTCGCGGATGGCACCGGAGGCCAATTCTTGAGTCCTCCGGCGTCCTCTCGAGGTATCGAGATACACAAAGCGGCCACTCCCCCCCCCCCCCCGCCGCCACCCCACCCACACTTACACACGCAAAGGTGACCCGCACCTTCCCAACGGTCAGCCAAACGGATTCCCGCCCGCGCTCTCCATCTCGGCAAATGGGTTGCTCTCGGCGCTGGCGCCAGAACCCTGCGGCACCGCCACCGCCGCCGGCTCTGCTGGCGGCGGTCCCAGTGGCGCTCCCAGCGGGTCCAACCCGCCCCCGAGCGGCGACAGCGCAAAATCGCCCCCGAGCGGCGACAGCGCAAAATCGGCGCCGCCGTCCTCGTCAAAAGGCGTCATCGCCGCCCCGGACAGCGAGGCGCCACTCATCCCGCCAATTGGCGCCAGCTCGCCGTGACTGCCCGCCGCACAAAAGGGCGGCGGCGCGGCGCCAAGGTGGGACACGGCGCCGCCAGCACCCGCACCAGCGCCCAGGGGAGCAGCCTCCGGCGGCCAGACCCCCGAAGCCGACAGCTCCCCAGATAGACTGCACCCTCCGGGGGCCTCTGGCTGCGACGGCACGCCACCGCCGAGCGACGGACCCGCACCGCCGACGCCGAGTCCGAAGAGGGCGTCGACGTCGTCCGCCGCCGCGCCGCCGCCGCCGCCGCCGCACGAGGCGAGGGAGGAGTGCAACCCGACCGGAGGCGGGAACGCGCCGGCCGTCGCCGGCGGGGGTGGCGCAGCAGGGGGTGGACACAAGCCGAATCCGTCGAGGAGATCGTCGACGGAGGTCGCGGGGGCGGGGGCGACGGCGGCGGGCGGCGCGTCGTCAAACACGCCGGCGAGGTCGAAGCCTCCTTCAGCCGCTCCCGCCGACCCTCCGCTGTGCTCGCAAGTCTCGAAGGGGTTCGCCCCTGCGCCGCCGCCGCCGTTGCCGTTGCCGCCGCCGCCGCCGCCGTGCGGGGCCAGCCGAGTGCTCTCCGCCATTGCCCACGCTAGCTGCTCCTCCTCGCTGGCGCCGGCGCTGAGCGAGGCCGCCGCCGCAACCGCCGGAGGCGCCGGCGGGGGCGGCGGCGGCGGCGGCCGCCCTGCCGCTGCGCTGCAAACAGCGCCTCCGAAGAGCTCCTCGAGCGACGCGTCAGCGGTTGGAGCGACCAGCACCGGCACCGCGCCCTGGCCGAGCGCGCCGAGAGAAGATACGTCGGGAAAGGCGTCCTCCTCTGCCGGCGGCGGCGGCGTTGCGGCGGGCGCGCCGTCCGCGTCATAAATGAGGGAGCGGAGGGCGGCGACGCAGAGGCCGAAGGCCTGCTCGTCGGTGAACGAGAGGTCGAGCGTCTCCCTCCACGCGGAGGCGCCTGACTCACCACGGACGAGTAAATACCCGCCCTCCTTGCGGCGGCAGCGCTGCGCGCGCACCTCGCAGGACAATCGAGAGGGAGAGGTGCCTCTCGCCGCCGGAGGTGCGCGTGCTCTGGTGACGCTGGAAGACGTGCGACTCGCGACCGATGAGCAGCGCCCGCGCGTCGGCGAGCTGCACCTCCCGCCGCTCGCTCTTTGGACGCAGCTTGGAGACTGGCGGCGCGTCCCATGTCAGGGTGCGCTCGTCGGGCGATAAGGAGAGGACCGTGGTGCGTGAGATGCCGTTGCGGCCGTGCTTAATGACGCGGCTGCCCGCCTTGAGAGCCGCGATGCCCTCTGCGGCGGCCTGTCCCTGCGCGTGCCGGACGCCCTCGCGCGGCGAGTCTGAAGAGGCAGAGGAAGCAGTGCTCGAGCGGCGGCGCGAGAAGGAGACCTTTCGGGCGGCCATGGTGAGGGCCATGACGGCGGGCTGGGCGGGCATCGAGGTCTCCTTTAGGAGCGGGTTGCTCGGACCAACGCGAGCAGGGTTGGAGGGGACGCGCGCAGACGCGGCTGGGGCAGATTTTTCTTCTTTCCTGAAGGCCTGACGAGTTTACGTATTCCCGAGAGGGCGTAATGTGATGCGTATGCATATGGGCCGGCTCATATGTTCTTTTTCCTTTTACGTCGGACAAGACCTCTCGCGCATGTTCCGAAGTGAGGAGCTCCGCTGGCGTGACGAGCCGCAGCGTCGCTGGCGTGAAGAGGAACGGCGCGACGAGCAGCAATGGCGGGGCCAGCTGAGATGGCGCGATGAGCGTTGGCCCGCTGAGCGATGGCACAACAAGCATTGGCGAGGCGAACGATGGCCGCATAGTGACGATCGGCAGGACGATCGGCGCCGCTACAACGATTGTCGGTGCAGAGGCGAGCGCGACTATTACGATCGGCATGATGACTGGCACCACGATCCCAGGCTCGACCATGACCGGCGCGACCAGTACCAGCACCAGTGGCAGCCTCATCAGCACAGCAATCGCCGGATGGGTCTGCCGATCCTCAATGACGAGCAGCAGAGCCACGACGCACTAATGCGCAATGAGCGCCCCTCGTCTAGCCACTGTGCTAACGGTAGTGGCCAGGTCGACCCTCTCAAGTTGACCGCATACATCTCCCACGCTGGCAGCGCTGACGCATTGCTCGCGCTCTTTGCTGCCCACAGCACGAGCTTGAACCACATCCACGCTGCGAATCTGTGGAACAAACTGGGCAAGCAGCGCATCGAGCGGCGGCACGAGGAGCGACTTGAGCAGCTGGTGCAGCGCACGCTCCACCTCGTCTCGTCGTGCGATGCGCGAGCACTGGCGAACATCACCCACGGCGTGGCAAAGTGCGGCCAGCAGGCGAGCGTGGTGCACCCGTTGTTCGTAGCGGTGGCGGAGGCGGCGGTGCGCGGCGGGCTGGCTGGCTTCAACCCTCAGAACCTGGCCAACACGGTGTGGGCGTATGCGACGGCGGGCGTGGCTGCGGACGCGCTGTACGCGGCGGTAGCGGAGGCGGCGGTGCGGAGCGGGCTGGCTGGCTTCACCCCTCAGAACCTTGCCAACACGGTGTGGGCGTATGCGACGGCGGGCGTGGCTGCGGACGCGCTGTACGCGGCGGTGGCTGAGGCGGTGGTGCGCGGCAGGCTGGCTGGCTTCAAGCCACAGGAGCTGGCCAACACGGTGTGGGCGTATGCGACGGCGGGCGTGGCTGCGGACGCGCTGTACGCGGCGGTGGCTGAGGCGGCGGTGCGCAGCGGGCTGACTGGCTTCAACGCTCAGAACCTTGCCAACACGGTATGGGCGTATGCGACGGCGGGCGTGGCTGCGGACGCGCTGTACGTGGCGGTGGCTGAGGCGGTGGTGCGCGGCAGGCTGGCTGGCTTCAAGCCACAGGAGCTGGCCAACACGGTGTGGGCGTATGCGACGGCGGGCGTGGCAGCGGACGCGCTGTACGCGGCGGTGGCGGAGGCGACGGTGCGCGGCAGGCTGGCTGGCTTCAAGCCGCAGGAGCTGGCCAACACAGTGTGGGCGTATGCGACGGCGGGCGTGGCAGCGGACGCGCTGTACGCGGCGGTGGCTGAGGCGACGGTGCGCAGCGGGCTGGCTGGCTTCAAGCCTCAGGACCTGGCCAACACGGTGTGGGCGTATGCGACGGCGGGCGTGGCAGCGGACGCGCTGTATGAGGCGGTGGCGGAGGCGGCGGTGCGCGGCGGGCTGGCTGGCTTCACTCCTCAGGCCCTGGCCAACACGGTGTGGGCGTATGCGACGGCCGACTATTTTCACCAGGCGCTGCTTGCCGACTGCTCGCGTGTGATCAGCGACTCGCTCGCGCGGGATCCCTCAATATGGAGCGAGGAGGAGCGCTCTCAGCTGCACCAGTGGCAGCTCTGGCTCTCCCTTGAGCGAGGAGCAGACGGGCAGCAGTACCTCCTCTCCGAGTCCCAGCGCAAGCTCTGCTGCGACGCCATGCAAGGCACCGAAGTTACGATCTCGCGCTTACAGCGCTCCGTCGCGGCTGCCCTCGCCACCCTCCAGCACGGCTTCGAGGAGGAGTATCTCGAGCCGCGCACTGGCTACTCGCTCGACCTGGCGCTGCCCTCGTCACGCGTCGGCGTTGAGGTGGACGGCCCGTCTCACTTCTTGCTGCCCGACGGCCGGGGTGTGCGCAAACCCAACGGTCCCACGCTGCTCAAGCGGCGCCTCCTTGCGGCGGCTGGCTGGAGTGTGATCAGCGTTCCATTCTACGAATGGTACGGCTTGATTGCCGATGAGCGGCAAGCCTACCTGGAGAGGGCGGTCGCCCCGCTGTGTAGTAGTGACTGTAGCATTGCTTGATGGGGGAGCGGCCGGGGAGGGGAGGGGCAGCGGTGGCGAGGGGCGGCAGCGAGGGGACGGCAGCAAAGGCGGGTGAGGCGAGGCGCCCGCGCTCCTGCGCGGCGGCCGAGGGCCCGACGCGACTGCGCCTCCTCTCTCGCTCATAGGCCGCCGCCGTCTACGCCACGCCGGCGGTGCGCGCGTTCTTTTATATCTTTTCCTGTATCAATTTGTCAGATGCGGAGAGATATACGAGAAGAGACATGCGCATGTGCATGTGCATATGTGCACCACTATAGTCTGGCTGCATGCGCAAACCAAGACGTACGAAAGACTTCGGCGTAACAAGAAAACATTTTGCAGCCTGGCCTACCGGCTATTCCGCCGCTCCCGCCCCTCAGCCTCGATCCGCTCCCACACGCCCTCGACCTGCTCCGCCGCGAGCTGCACCGCCGCCGCGCTCGGGGCCTCGCCCAGCTGCGGCGAACCCGCGGCCGCGCCGGGGAGCAGCGAGCCCACCGCCTGCGCGAGCACGCCGCGCAGCTCGTCGCGCGCGCCCGCGTTCCACGTCCTGCCCCCCGAGGTGTGCTCCGCGTCGGCGACCGCGACGATGCCGTCGGGCGCCCCCTCGAGGGCGGCGCGGAAGCCCTGCGTCAGCATCGCGCAGAAGCTGTCCGAGACGACCGCTCCGTGGATTGGATCGGCCACAAGCGACACCGTCACCGCCGCCGCCGCCGCTCGCAAAGCCTCGCCGCCCTCCCCGCCCTCCCCGCCCTCGCCGCCGAGCAACGCCAGCACCAGCACCAGCAAGCCGCCGCCGTCGACGAGGGTGCGGACGGCGTGGTGTGAGCGGCGCAGCCAGCCGCCGAGGCTGAGGAGGGCGGGGGGGGCTGCGGCTGGCGCAGAGGCGCAGAGCGCGAGCGGAGCGAAGACCTCCTCGGGAGAGAGGGCGTCGGCGTGGGCCGCGCTGCGGCAGAGCGTGTCCAGCACCTGAGGACATGTCTCGGACATGTCACGGACGTGTCCTGGACATTGCGCTGCGGCAGAGCGTGTCCAGCACCCGCAGCGGCTCCAGAGTGCGCAAGAGCAAGAGGGCGCCGGCCGCGAGCCTGCGCGCCTGCGCCGCCTCGGCCGCCGCGTGCAGCGGCGGGTGCGCCTCGAGCACGAGGGCGACGGAGGTCCACATCTGCTTCAGGTTGGCGGCGGCGCCCTGCGCCTCGGCGCTCCGGTGCGCGCCCTCCGCCTGCAAGCGGCCGAGGAAGGCCGCCTCGGCGGAGAGCGCCGCGACGAACGCTTTCAGTAGATCCGCAGCCTCCGTCGGCCCGACGCCTGCGCCGGACGCCGCGTTGAAGTGCGCCACGTACACTCCGCCCACGCGCAAGCCCCCGCCTGCGTCGGCCACCGGAGGGTGCCGCTCGTCGAGGCCGGCGGAGCTCCACTCGAAGGCCGCGGGCTGGTCGGAGCTCGCGATCCAAGAGACGAGGGGAGAGAGCTCGACCGCGAGCGCCGCCACCATCGCGTCACGCTCCGCCGGGCCCCACGCGAGCCGCGCGGACGCGTGGGTCGCGTCGTAGAAGGCCACCGCCGCCGCCGCGCCGCCGCCGCCGCCGCCGCCGCCGCTCGCCGCGTCAGCGTCCGCGCCATCGGCGCCTCCTGCCGCGAAGAAGCGGGCGACGAGCGGCCGGCAGCTCAAGTGCTCCAGCACGCTAGCCGCCTCCTCGGCCGCCGCGCCACCGCCGCCGCCGCCGCCGCGCAGCAAAGCGCCGAGGGAGCTGGCCGCCGCCTCGCGAGCCTCGAGCGGCGCAGAGGCGGCGCCAAAGAGGGCGAGCAGCGAGAGAAGCACGCCGCCGCGCACGAGCCGCGCCGCCGCCGCCGCGCAGCTGCTGCAGAGGCCGCGGAGGGCGAGCACCGCATGCACGGCGACCTCGTCTCTCGCCGTTGAGTGGAGGAGCAACTGCGCCGCGCAGACGGCGTCGCATGCCCACGGGCCCGGCGAGGCGCGCGCGAGCGCCCGCAGACCGCGCAGCGCCGGCAGCGCGAGGGGCGGCGCCGCGGTGCGGACAAGCTTGAGGAGCAAGGCGGCGACCCTCGTTGTGTCGGCGGGGCCGTCCGCCGGGCTGGCCGCCGCAAGGTCGCGCTCCAAGAGGGTGGCGAGGGCGCCAGCCCGGACGCCGAGCGCAGAGCTGAGCGTGTCGTCGGGCTGCACGCCGCTGTACACGCCGCCCGGCGCTGCGAGCGGCAGCGGCGGGAGGAGGGACAGCTCGGGCGACGCGGCGGCGACCATCGCGGCGAGGAGGCGGCCGCCATCGGGCAGCGGCGGCAGCGGCGTGCCCGATGGCGGCGCGCCGCCTGCCTGCGCGCCGTACGCGCGAAGGAAGACGCCGAACACCGCCGGCTCGCCGCGCAGCTGTGCAAAGTCCGGCCCCGCCTCGCGCCACGCCCAGGGCCGCCGCGAGGGGAGCGCGCCGAGGGCGACACGCTGCGACGCAACCTCCGCGTGGAGCGTGTCGCGCATGCTGTCGCTCCAAAAGACCGTCGCGGAGCTCTCGGTGGCGTGCAGCGTGGCGAGAAAGGCTGCTGGCGAAGCGAGGCGCGTGGCGAGGCCCGGCGTGAGGAACCGTGCGCAGAGTGATCGCAAAGCCGGCCGCCCCTCGCCGTCCCCGTCGCCGTCCTCGACGACGACCGCACCGCCGCGCGCGTCGCTCAGCAGCCGCAAGCAGCAAGCCGCGAGCAGCGCCAGCCGCCGCTTGCAGCCGACTCGCCCCCCACTGGCCTCGCCGCCCTCGCCTGCCCCCTCTGCCAGGCAGAGCTCGAGCAGCAGCAGCGGGGCGCCCGCGTCGGCGGCGGCGAGGGCGAGCGCTTCGTCGGAGGCGGCGAGGCAGAGGCACTCGAGCAAGCGGCAGGCCGCACGAGGCTGCGGCAGCGGCAAACCCGCCGCGGGCATCAAGGACAAGAGCACCGCGAGCGTGTCCGGAGCGCTGGCGGCGAGGTCTCGGCGGCCCCGCTGGCTGCCGAGGAGGAGGCAGAGGCTGCGGAGGAGGCTGCTCACGAGGACGTCCCCGCCCTCCCCGCAGCCCACGCCGCCGCCGACGCTGGCCGTGGTCGCCACGCAGCGCCAGCGGCCGCCGCTGCGGAGCAGGGGAAGCAGCACCTCCAGCACCGCGGCCGCGGCGCCCATGGAGGCGCACGCCTCCAGGGGAGGGTTCTGGTGCTGTGGGGGTAGGGGAGGGTTGCCGCCGTCCGACCACTCGCAGGCGGGCCAATCGGGCGGCAAGGCACGCGGCTCGCCGTCGGCCGCGGGAGGCTCCGCCGCCGCGCCGCTGCACGCCCCCTCCGCCACGGCCGACGACCAGCTCTCGATCCGCGCAACCTCGGCCGGGCTGCTCGCCTCGAGGAGCGCGCAGAGCATCCGCGCCGCGCACACCGCGGTCTGCTCCGCCGCCGCGGGCAGCGACCCCTCCGCCGGCGGCCGCGTCGGGCAGAGCGCACTCAGCGCGCCGAGCCGCACGCACGCCAGAAGGGCGGCGAGCGGGGGCGGCGGGAGGAGAGTGAGCGACGGGTGGCGGCCTCCGTGCCGCCCGAGCAGCAGTGCGTACGCCTCGAGCAGCAGCGCGCGGTGGCCCTCCTCCTCGCCGCCGCGCAACGACCCGCCCGCGGCGGCCAGCGTCGCCGCCTCTGTCGCAACCTTGCCCTCCGCCGCAGCGGCCGCCCGAGCAGCCTCCTCCTCCGCCTCCGCCTCCCGCCGTGCGATCGCCTCCGCCTCCTCCTCCCACTGCGCCGCCTCGTGCGTCGCCAGCGCCTCCGCCAGCTCCGCCTCCGCATCCTCCGCCAGCGCCGCGCTCAGCTGCGCAAGCGGGCCCTCCTCCTCGCGGCCCTCCTCCTCGCCCCGCAGCGGCGTCGCCTCCTCCTCGTCTCCTGCTCCCTGCGCCTTCGCGTGGAGCGGCGGCGGGAGCGGCGGCGGCCGAGGCGGCGGGAGCGGCGGCGGGAGCGGCGGCGGCGGCCGAGGCGAAGGCCGAGGAGGAACGGACTCCACCGAGTCCCCGCCAGCCTCCGAGACCGTCGTGAGCGGTGAGAGGGGCGTCGGGGCGTCTTCCTCCTCTGCCGTGACGTCCGCAGCGAGCGCCTCGGCCGCGTCCGTCTCCCCCGCCCCAGTCCACCCCGCTACCCTCGCCACCGCCGCTAGCCGCTCCTCCCTCACCCGACGCATCTCCTCTTGCACCTGTCGCGTGCTGGCTGCCGTCGTGCCTATCGCCGCCTCCTTCGCCACCGCCGCATGCGCCTCTAGTCCCCGCCCCTCCTCGGTCCCCTCCTCGCCCCCCTCCTCGGCAGCCTCCTCCGCGCCGCCCCCCACCGCCGCGTCGTCGCCTCCCGCGAAGTCGCTCAGCTGCACGAGCGCCTCGAGCAACTGCTCGCCCCACCCGGCCGGCGAGGCGAGCTCCGTGCCGCCGCCGCAAGCGATGAAGAGCCGGACGTACAGCCCGCCCACGAGGAGCTCCGCCGCCTAGACACTTCCTAGACACTTCCTAGACACTTCCTAGGCGTACAGCCCGCCCGCGAGGAGCTCCGCCGCCTGCTCGGGGTAGACGACGCGCGGCGGCGTGCCGATGGAGTACGGCCTGTCCTCGGGTCTGGGGCCGCCCCCCGTCCGCGAGGCGACCAGCTCGGCGCAGAACGGCGCGACGGCGCGGAGGAGCGCCTCGTGCACAAAAAGAGCTGTCAACAGAAGAGCTGTGAATAGAAGAGCTGCGAACAGGACGGCGCGGAAAGAGCGCCTCGTGCAGCGTGGTGCGGAGCGAGGCGCCCCACAGAGTGTTTGGCGACGGGTTGTCCGAGCAAAACGCATCGAGGAAGTCGCGCGGCTCCGGCGCCTCGAGGCGGGACACGAAGTTACTTAATAAATACGAATTACTCATATTTAATTAATAATTACGGCGCCTCGAGGCGGGACACGAGGCCGGCGGGGAGGAGCGAGGCGAGCAACGGCGGCGCGCCGGCGGGCTCATACGAGTTGTGGTACGCGTGCAGAAAATGCGCCTTCGCGGGGGCTCCGAGAAGGCTAAAGGGAGGGGCCTATCAGCGGGGAACATCTGCACGCGGGATGGGTGAGTGCGCCGCTGCAAAGAGCATCCGCCCCTCCGACGGCGAGGCGGAGAGGAGGACGAAGAGCGGAGCGCCCGAGGGCCGCAATGCCTCGCGAGCCGGTTGCCTAGTGAACTACGACTCCGTAATTAGTCATAGCTCATTAATAATTGCAGCGCCTCGCAAGCCGGCGGCCTAGTGGGTTACTCGGCAGCCGGTGACTCGAGCTGAGTGAGATCGCCTCGCCACGCGAGCAGGCTCTGCCAAGAGTCGCACAGCTCCAGCAGCAGCTCAATCAGCCGCGCGAGCACGGCGGGCCGCTCGGCGGACAGAAGCGCCGCCGCCAGCCTGCCGGCGTTTGGCGCGCAAGCGAGTCGCCGCGCCAGCCGCGGGCTCGCGCGCGCCACGCCCTGCAGGAGCTCGAGCGCGACTGCCACGGCGCCGTACAGCGACTCCTCCCCCCCCACCTACGCACAACCTTCGCGTGCCGCCGCAGCCTCTCACAAGCCCGCACAACACACACACACCCCTCGCCGACTGGCACGCTGCACGGCTGCGGCTCGTCCCGCCGCCGCCGCCGCCGCCGCCGCCGTCCGCCTTCGCCCCGTTGCCATTGGCCGCCGCCCCTCCACCCCCCGCCGCCCCTCCACCCCCCGCCGCCCCTCCACCCCCCGCCGCCCCTCCACCCCCCGCCGCCCCTCCACCCCCCGCCGCCCCTCCACCCCCCGCCGCCTCCGCCCCCTGCTTGCCGTCTGCCCCCTCGCCCTCGGAGGAGAGTTGGGCCAGCGCGGCGGCGGTGTGCGCATCCTGTTCACAGCTCTTCTGTTCACAGCTCCTCTCTCCACAGCTCGTGCGGCGGCGAGGTGCGCATACCTCGTGCAGCGGCAAGCGCGCGAGCAGGCCGGTGAGCGCCTCGAGGCCTCCCGCCTCCGCCAGGGGCAGCGCGTTGGCCGGCGCCGCCAGCAGCGACACTCGCAGCGTGTCGAGCGCAGCGTGCAGCTGCGGCACCGGCAGCGCGGGCCGGCGCAGCAGCGAGACGAGCCAAGCGAGGCACGGCAGCGGTGCGCCGTGCGGGGAGCACGAGGCGGCGTAGCTCACCCCGAGCGCGCGGAGCAGCGGAACTAGGCGCGCGCCGTCCGCCTCTGCCGCACAAGCCGCACCCACCGCGGCGACGAAGCCGGGGGGCACGGGAGGGCCGCACCCCTCCGCCTCCGGCCGCCGCCCGCTCAGCGCCTTGACGAGAGGGCCGAGGTAGTAGGGCGCGACGTACGCCTCCGCCTCGACGGGCGGGTACTTGACACGAAACGAGCCGCCCTCCCACTCCGCCTCGCCCGCCGCCGCCGCGCGCCCACCCGCCGCGCGCGCGATCGCGTGCTGCTGCTCGAGCTCGGCCAGCTCTCTGCCGCACGCGTCGTGCAGCGCCGCCTAACTCATTCGCTCTTCGTTAGCTCTGCTAACTAGCTAAATCTCTGCTCGTCGTGCAGCGCCGCCAGCTCCGATGGGTCCCAGACGAGGCGCGGCTCGTACGCAGCCGTGCCGAGCGCCTCCCACAGCGCGGGCCAGTTCCCGGCGGGCAGCTCGTCGGCGTGCCGCACCTGCGGGCCGCCGGAGGTCTGAAGCGGCGCGACTCGACGCCCCTCTGCGGGCGGGCGGTGGTCGGCGGGGCGCACCGCACGCACGAACCGCTCCTTCTCGGCGCGGCTGCCGAGCCGCCGCAGCTTGCCGGCGAGGCATGCGGCCGCCTAATCCATTCACTCTGCATTGGCGGTGCTCCGACTTCGCTCTGAACTCGGCGAGGCACGCGGCCGCCGCTCGCGACTCTGCGGTGCCCCGTCCGGCGGCTCCCCCGTCCGGCTCGAGGCTCGCGAGGCGCGCCTGCAGAGGCGGCGTAGAGAAGGGTCAGGGGAGACATTGCCCGCCCGACGGCCCCTCGAGCGCCTCTCGAGGCTCTGCGAGCCGCGCCAGCTTCCGCTCGAGCGCCGCCGGCTCGGGCGGAGGCGTGGCTGGCGGAGGCCGCTCGAGGTGCCTAATCAATTCATGACTTGAATTCTCTGGCCGAATTCATTGACTAACTCTGGCGGAGGGCGCTCGAGGCGCCTCTCGACCAGCGCAGGCGGCACCATCCTGCCCAGCTGGCCGAGGGCGGGCGGGCAGCAGTCGCACAGCAGACCGACTAGGCGGCGGCACGCCTCGTCCTCAGGGAGGGCAGCGCCCTCGCCGCCTTCGCCGCGCGGGCTCTCGATGCGCACGCTCTTGGCCTTGGTCTTCCGTGCGGCGGGCGCCTCCTCCCACTGATGCCGCGGCCCCGATGGCGTGCGCACCAGCCGCTCGACGGGTGCGCCCGTCGCCAGGGGGAGCAGCCAGAGGAGCGCGCCTGCAGGACGGCTCCGAGAAGAGTCACTGCTAGCCTCGCAGGGCAGCGGAGGTCCACGGCAGCCGCGCCGCAGCGGGCGGCGGAGAGTTGGGCGGCGCGGTACTGCGCCTCGTCGCACTCGAGCAGCACCGCCTGGAGGAAGGTTCCGAGAAGGTTCCGAGAAGGTACTGCGCCTCGTCGCACTCGAGCAGCGCCGCCTGCAGCACCGCCTGCGCGCGCCGCCGCACCGAGCCGCATGGGTGGCAGCACAGCCGCAGCAGGGTGAGCGCCTGGCGGCGCGCGACGAGTTGACGGATGAGCCGATGCCCCAAAAAGAGAGTGCGCAACCCCAGAGAGTCGAACTGGTCGAGCGCCTGCGGTCTATCTCCCCCATATCTCCCCCTATCTCCCCCTATCTCGAGCTGGTCGAGCGCCTGCGGTCTATCTCCCCCATATCTCCCCCATATCTCCCCCTATACCGAGCTGGTCGAGCGCCTGCGGTCTATCTCCCCCATATCTCCCCATATCTCCCCCATATCTCCCCATATCTCGAGCTGGTCGAGCGCCTGTGGCGAGAGGCCGTCGCAGAGCGAGAGCGTGAGGCCGTACTCGGTCGACGCCTCTCGCGTCGAGAGCAGCGAGACGAGGATCTCGAGCAGCGGCTCGCCCACCTCGCGCCGCAGCGAGCGGAGCCGCGGCGCGGCGGTGCCGAGCGAGCCGACTAGAGACGCGAGCGCCGCTGCGCCGCCGCAGAGGTGAAAGTGCGCTCGCGCGGCGCGCTCGAGCTTCTCGTCCGCGTCGCCGCTGGCGTCGGGAAGCCGGACGATGGCGAGGACGAGGTCGAGGAGCGCACCCAGCCGCGTCGGCCCCTCGCCCACCGCCGAGGCGACGCCGTGCGGCGGAGGCAGGCAGCCCCGCAGCAGAGGCTGGAGCGGGTGGCGTGGGAGGAGGGCATAGAGGCCGCGGGCACCGAGCAGCCGCGCCGTCGCGCTCAGCAGCGGCCCTATCGAAGGCGAAGGGCAGGCGAGCTCCGTCTCGCAGAGGCAAAGCATCATCTCTAGGATGCGCTTATCTGAGAGCAGGCTCAGCGACGAGCGCTCCACCTCCGCCACGACCTCGCTCACCGCGCTGTAGTCTCGCGCGACCCGCTGCAGCCGCGCGAGCACGGCGTTGTTGAGCGCCGCCGACTCGCGACGAGATTGGAAGATGTGCTTCAACATGGCAAGCACGCCGTGCCGGCCAGCTGTGTACAGGGAAGCGAGCAGTCAAGAATTACGCACGCGCCCTCAGCGGAGCTGGGAAGAGGACCGCCGCAAGCGGCGTGGCGTGGAGCGGTTGAGCATCCCTCCGGGGGCCCCTCTGCGCCGGGGAGGCGTTGTTGGAGGCTAGGACGCAAGCGTCCGTCGCCCTTTTCAAACTCGGGGCCCACTCCGCTACGCTCCGACCCGAATTTGGAGGGCCTAAAAGTTTAAGGTGTTGCTGCGCAAAAGGGGTCGGACAGGGCGCAGCTCATGCTAAGAGCTAGAAGGGGAGCTAGAGAGAACGACTACCCTGTCCCGTTATTGCGTACACCAACACCACAAAAGCTCTCTCTCTCCTGTCCTCACTCTCTCAGAGGGAGGGGGGTCACAATTACCGAGTCTCTCGACTAGCTGCCACGTTGCCGACCGAGAGCGGATATCCTCCTGCTCCGCAAGGAGGGTGGCCAAGGCTAAAGTCTTGCCGCACTCATTCTCCTCGGTTGAAGAGCTCGTCGGAGGCTGCGTCACGACGGGAGGGTCGCGACAGCAGTCCTCGGGCGAGCCGAGGCGCATGTCCAACCAGCACTGGGACTCGTTGTGACGGCAGACGCCGGCTGCCTCTCCAACCGCTTCTGCAGCGTCCTTCTTTGCCCGTGCATGGGCTCGATCCGATTCCGCAGCGTGTCGTCCCCAGCGGCGGTGCTGCGCGGGAGGCGGCCGCGGGCACGCTGGGCTCAGCTGAAGGCTTGCGTCCGTCCACGGCCCAGATCATGGTTTCTGCGCGGTATTCGGATTTTGCTTTTTGTTCGTGTGGGGGTATATTGCAGATTTGTCAATGGTACCGCGTCTGCGACGCGGGCGCCTTGCGAGCAGAGCCCTTAGGACACCCGTTATAAATAAAATGGACACCTCTACTAGGAGATGGGTAAAAAGGAACAGGCCCGCCTCCGCCTCCTCCGCCATCCCCTTCCTTGCTCCCCTGCTACCCCCTCCCTCCCCCCCCCCTCCCCCCCCCTCCCTCGCCACCTCCTCCCTCGCCGTCTCCTCCCTCACCACCCCCTCCCTCGCCTCCCCCTCCCTCGCCACCTCCTCCCTCGCCGTTTCTCCCCTTGCCGCCTCCTCCCTCGCCGCCTCAAGTAAGCTGTCGCCGCGGAAGCTGGTCGACAGGTGCCTCGCAGCTGCGTATTCTCGTATTATCTTCGAGTAAGGCGTCTCGCAGCTGCGTATTCTTGTATTCTCGTCGATTAGTGTAGGTACTGCGTGGGGGCGGTACGTATTCCCGTATCACGTATCACTAGCTCCGAGTAGAGGGGGCGTCCTTGCAGTTAAGGGGAAACCTGGTACGCGGGGCTAACCCTCGGAGAGTATTCTTTAGCTCCGAGTAGAGGGGGCGTTCCGCAGCTAGGGGGACCCACAGCGCGAGGGAAAAATTCCGCCGCTGGGGGAACCCTGGAGCGCAGAACCAACCCTCGGAGACCCGTGTTATGGCCCTGCGAACGCGCACCCCCCCACGGTCGAGGAAGAGGGTGCGTTCTGCAGTTAAGGGGTAACCCGGTACACGGAACTATCCCTCGGAGACGTGTTATGGCCCTGCGACCGCGCACCCCCGGGGCTAGGGCTCTCTAGCCCGTAACCCAATCCCGATCATCCGGCCCGCTGGGTGCGCTTCTTAGCTCCCCGGCCCTGGATGTGAGGCTGCTAACTGCACTCCAAGTGCTCCAAGGTCCTCCCCGCCCTGCGGTCTTTGTGCAGGGTTCTTTGTAAAATTCTTTGTGGGTGTGGTCGGCGACTAGCCGGGGTCGTCCTCCCGATGGGGGACTAGCACTAGCCGTCTTCCACATGGTACACCCTAGTGCGACGGTGCGTGGAGCACTACACCCTTTATATCTTGCGCGGTCAAAAGAATTTTACAATGACTCCCTCGCACAACACTGTGGGCACGGGACTGGCGCGCACTGGCACTAACACAGGTACACCACAGGAGCCGCCTGAACAACTCCTGCAAGGGCAAAAAAGTAAAAGAATTTGTGGGCCACCTTAGCTCCCCGGCCCTGGTCCCTGGATGTGAGTGAGGCTGCCGACTGCACTCCAAGTGCTCCAAGTGCACCAGAAAGGACACAGCAGACGGCCCCCTCAGGGGCCGTCGTCATCGAACAAGTCGATTTCTGCACGATTTAGCCCTTCCGAGCCGTTATCCTGACCATCGGGAGGAAGGACCGAGAGGAGAGGGGAGCCCCCCCGGAAGCCGGAACGCGAACGGGGGCAAGGAGACCGTGCGGAGGGATCCTGAGTGGCGACGCCGTCGCCGAGTGGGAGTGTGTGTCGTCACGTGTCCATGTCGGGTGTTTACTAGCTCCGAGTAGAGGTTGGGGCGTTCTGCTGCTAGGGCCTAGGGGAAACCCGGAGCGCGGTCGAGCCGCGCGTCGAGCAGGGCCGTGAGCACAGGTCGCCCTTGGCCAGCTCGTCGGGGAGCAAAAGGGCGCTCATGCCGGCAGCGAAAAAGAAAGCGACATATAACTGGCGAGCAAGTTTCTTTTCTCCCCATCTGGTCCGCGTGCAGGTGTGGACCCTGTCCTCCTCCCCCCTCCTTTTTTATGTGAGTTTTACAAAAACCACCCACAACCACACCCACACACACTCCGCGGTTTTTTTCTTCCGCGCGGAGCAAATCGACCTCTCCGAAGCCCCACGGTCTCTTGCGCGCAACTCTGCGCGATGACTGCACTCCTGGTCTCTGCTACGCTCCCAGCGTCACTCCTCCTGCCGCTCGCGCCGCGGGTAGCACCGCGGTTTACCTGCGACATGTCGGTTGGAGCGAAACACTTCCTTTCCGACCTGGCGCCACACCATCGCATGGGCGGTGCGGCTGCCGCCGAGCGTTCACCGCGAGCCTTGGACTGTAGGAGTTCCTGGGGCCGTGCCGCTTCGTGGTCCAAGGAGAAGGCGCGATACTCGAGGCGGTGGGTGCGTTCGAGGAGCTGCGCGTCTCGGAGACACCCAAGGGTGCGCTCGCCACGGTGTCGGTGGGTGACAGCTTCGAGTGCCATGTCCGCCTCAAGGAGGTTGCTTCCGCGTCGTTCGTCAGCAAGGAGAAGCCGGACGGCAAGGCCCTGCACATCGTCAGGCTGCTTGACAAGGAGGGTGGGCCGCTGCTGTCTGCCATCCTGCACGCCGGCCCCGACGGCTATGAGGACGGGGCCGTGAGCTTCTTCGAGCGCCTGCGCGAGAAGTTCGGCGCGACCGTGGATATCACCGACGACCTCGAGGGAGAGGACTAAGCCGCGCGCAACACGGTTGTCAATAGCGTCGGCGGCCCGCAAACACACACACATGCATACACACGCAACACGCACGCACACACACACACACACACATACACATACACACACATACACACACACACACACACACACACACACACACACACACACACACACACACACATCGACACATATGTCGTTAGATGTACGTTGCGGTTGGGAGCACGCGAGCATGGCGAGATGCGCATCATCGAGGCATGAGACACAAAAAGACCGAAACGAGTCGGATGGAACGTGAGAATACGCTCACACGACACTTCGATCTTCGCGTGTTCGACAACCCTTCCCTGACCGCTGACGGGGGGGCTGCACACAAAAACGCGACCAGAGATAGAGAACAGCGGATTGCGAGCTGCATGTGCCGCATTCGCATGCAAGCTCCGGTACTATGCGAGACATGCGAGACGCGGCGAGAACAGTAGCGAGCGAGGCGGGAGCACGAAGGAGTACTCGGCCGCTAAGGAGTACACAGCGCAAACATCGCACGGTAAGCGGCGCGGCGCGCCGTTGTCAGGCCGCCTCGAGCGGCGCCCGGAAGGGCGATGCGTCAAACAGCAGCTTCGCGCCGGCGCCGTCCGACCAAAACGCGAGCTGTGCGCCGACCTCCTCAACCACGCTCTCGGGCAGCTCGACGAGGCACTCGATCTCGAACCAGATCGCCCCCTCCCGGGCGCTGGTGCCCGCCTCCATCTGAGATGTCACCGCGCCGTGATCCTGCAGCAGCTGCGTGACGGTCAGCACGATGCCCGGCTTCTGAGGGCACTCGATCTTCAGCCGCCTCGTCACGGTGGCGTCCTCCGCCCCGCCGCCCGCGCTCTCGAGCGGCACGACCGAGAGCGACGCGCCCCCGGCGACGTGAGCCTCCAGCGTCTTGGAGAGCGTGGCGGCGGCCGACGCCGGCGTCGCCTCGGGCAGCCACAGCGCCATTAGCAAGGAGTAGTGAGAGCCCAGCACAACCTTCTTGCTCGCCGCGATCGAGCCGCCGGCATCGTACACCGCGGCGGTCAGGTCGCGAATGGCTTGGGCACTGTTCAGGCCCGAGGACGTGATCAGCACATTCGGGGTCGACGCAAGATCCATCCTTTGCTTCGCCGGCGGCGGGCCGCCTAGCCCGTGGGACGCAGCGTCAGCGACGCTGCGGATCTTCGGCGGCGATGAGATGCTCCGCGTCGCGGCGGCTAGCAGACGGCCGCCGCGCGAGGGCGCTCGCATCACTCCTCCGGACCGCGCGGCCGTGACATTCTTTTTCTTAGGCTGGCTGCGGTCGCAAAGGCGAGGGCCAAGAGGGCAGCGGGCGACGACGGGAGCTCCGCCGCCACCAGCGCCGAAGCACGCCGACGCGCCAAGGTCTCGTCCGACGCAGCGCGCAAGGCGGCGTTCCACGCCCGCGGCTCGCAATACTTCATCTCGAGCCCCGGCGTCAGATACTCCTACGAGTGGCTCCTCCCCTGGGCCAACCACCCACGCCTTCTCGCGCAGCTGGACACCGTCCGTCGCCGCCGCCCACCGAAGAGAGCGCGTCGGGAGTACTACGGCATGCTCTACCACGGCGCCACGCTCCTGCGCGATCACATCAACACCCCGGACGCGGGGCTCTACGTCGCCTTCCAGATCCTATCCAAGATGGTAACCATCAACCATCTCCGCGAGGGCGGTAAGGAGCGGACCAAGTCGGAGATGCTCGGGCGCGTCCGGATGGTCATGACAGGCGGCCTGGCCAGCGGAAGCAATTGGGACCCGCTCCCGCTCCTTACTGACAAGGCACGGGCGAAGTTCGCCGGTAAGGTCGGTGCGCCAGGGCCAGCAACCAACCCCGACGATGTCGGCGACGTCTATCGTTACAGGTCAGGGGCCCCAGATACGCGAGGAAGATGCGTCATCGGCAAAGCGGGAAGCAAGAAGCGAACCTCGAACGAAAAAGTAGGCCCGAACCACGACAACCGAGCCGTCAAGAGCGTTATTCTCACCCTCGACGACGTGTACGCCGCCTTCCCATCATACAATGCATATTGCACGAACGATTGCCTCAAGAGTGGTGTCGTCGGGTACGTCTCTCCACCCGGCCATTCCAACGGCCAGGCCGCTCGCTTAAGGCTGATTGGCTAGACGAGCGGCCTACCTCCAACGGGGCTGACTGGCACAACGAGGAGAGGTCATCCGGATGTGGCGGGACGCCGCCGGGCACCTGGTTGCTCTCCTCCGCCAGACAGCCCTTCCCGACGGGGACGCCATCACCCTCGCCCAGGGATCTACAACGCTGTCTCAAGGTCCGACAGGTTCGGCACCGGGCACCGCCTCGGTATACAAAATGCGCCTGCGGGCGGACCCTCACAGATCACAGATCACTACACAAGTGGAAAGCACGTCGTCGTCGTCCGTCCATCGTCGGCCCATTCCGTTGACTTCTACCCCCACCCACCGCGGAATGGACACCTCGCAGAAAACCAGTAGCGAGAGCAAGGTGGCCAAGCTGCGTGGCATTGCGGGGATCGCACGGGACGCGAGGGAGACGCTCCGCAAAAGTAGCGAGGCGCGCGGCCACCGCCCAAAGCACCCACCCTTTGCGAGCAGCACACCCGCCTCATCTTCTTGCCCAACTGTTGCCGCAGAAGAGGGATAGTGTTCACGCACTGGGGGGCTGTGCGCAAGTGGCGTTGCTCCTCACGCTGGCGCGCATCGATCCCGACGGCGATGGGGAGCTCGAGGTGAGCGTCGCCACAGCGCTCCCTGCTCCCCTCTCATCTCCCAGCAACCTCGGCTCCATGGACTCGAGCAAGGACCAGCACCAACGCGCGGCCCCTGCCCATGGCCCAGGACAGCGACCTCGATAGTGCACAGCGGCTCGTTGACTCGAGCAAGGACCAGCTCCTCAACACGGGTGTCGTGGCGGCCCTCATCCTCTCGATCATGCGCCCGTTTTGCGTGGGATGTGAGGACACGGTGCTGGCACGTCCATGACGTTCATGACACGTCCTTTAGGTACCCAATGGCGTACGCCGAGGACACCGTGCTCCTCGATATCCATGCGATCTTAGACAGCGACAAGCCGTGGAGGACGTGGGAGGTGGAGGACGTGGCCGACGTGACGTCCTTCCTCGCAGACTTCACCTGCGTCACCCTTTCCGTCCTCTCGGTCATCCTTTCCTCGGTCATGTACACGCAGATGTCCTTTTGGATGCCGTCGCTTGAGGCGCAGCTCTGGTACATTGGGATGTCCGCCACGACAGAGGACATGATCGATGTGTTCAAGGACCTCACCGTAATCTTTGGCCTGCTCACGCTCGGTTGTCAGTGCGCCGTGACCAAGTCGTTCTTGGATCTGATCGCCTTCATCCCGTTCTTGAGCGTTGGCGCGCCGACGCCGTCCGTGGCACTGTCAAACGTCTTCACGATGTAACCACCAGCCCTCTCCTCACCAGGCGCAGCGCTGCTGTATGTGCGGCTAACGCTGACCAAAAAATGCAAAGAGTACCTGCGCACGGAGCTAGACGAGTTCCAAGCCCAGAGCAGCAGCGGCGGCGTTGGGAAGGAGGTCACGGCTGTTGCCACCTGACTACCTTACGCCCACAACGTGACTGGTCGGTGGCGGCAGCTGGGGACATCTCCACATCCTCTCGGGACTCTCGGCGCTCGCAGTCGTGCGCACCCCACTTTCTTATACGCATAGAGAGAGCGGCGGCATGAAGCGCTTGCAACGCACTGCGCCGGGGGGCAGGGGGGGCCCAGTCCGCAGTCAACGTCGGGTGACGGGTCACCAGCCGTGCCAGCCCGGTAGAGGCAAGAGGGTAGACAGCGTCCTAATCTGACTGGTGGATTTTGGGCGCGCTGTCTAGCGTACCCCCTGGGGGGGCTGGCCCGCCCGCCCGGCCCGCGCCGTCGCTACGCATACGCACATGCGAACAAAAATAACGCAACACAACGTGTTTGTTACTCTAATAAAAGATTAGAAGTGCGGTGTCGCCGCTGTGGAGCTAGACGCCGTCCCCAACGCCGACCGCGTGCCCCGCTCTTAGCTCAACCTCATTTCTGCCGCTCTACTTTTTCACATCGGCAGCCTCAGCGTGTACTTTTGAGGGACGCGCATCGGCTCGGAGCGGCCGGTCACCTCGTTCTCGTCCTCGAACTCGATCATGTAGTCGCGCCGGTGGGAGGGGTTCGGGTTGCTCTGCGAGGGCGGCGTGGCGACGTACGCCTTGTAGAAGCAAGTCGTGTCCGGGTAGAGGGCGAGCACGCTCGAGCCGGCCTTAAACTCGTTGTAGTGCGAGTACGCCGTCGGCTCCTATTCCGAAACACCTCGCCACCCCTCGGCGCGCGGCGAGAGGGGGCGCGCTCGCGCTGCGGGCGTGGCGGCGCCGAGGTCGGGAGGGCGATGACGTACTTGGCGGGGACCTACGACCGGGTCATCCCGCACTACAGCCCGCGGATCAAAGGAGTGCAACCACGGGCTCTGCGCGGGCGCCGTGTGCTGCTTCGAGGCGGCCGGAGCCCCCATCAGCCCGCCCTCGTCCCCGGCGTCGACGTCGAGGACGACGTACCTGGCGCGGGCCGGAGACGGCGCTGTCGGGATCGGGGAGGGGGGGGGGGGTGCGTGCGTGCGTGCGTGCGTGCGCACTTTTGCGTGGACGCGTTGTACCTCTGCACTACGGCGAGGATCCACTCGTCCGCCTGAGAGGTGAGGGAAGGGGAAGAGAGGGGGGGGGGAGGGGAGGGGAGGGTGGGTTAGGCGCCCGGGGAGAGGGGGTTAGCCCTTCCCCAGCCACGCCCGCCAGCCACGCCCGCCCTCTCCCTGCCCCGCCCTCCCCCTGCCCAACCCTCTCCCAGCCCAGCCCTGCCGTCAGCCCGGCCCGTCCCCGGCGCGCCTGCCCCTTGAGAGAGGGGGAGAGATGGCTGAGAGAGGGGGAGAGAGGAGGCGCGCCTGCCCCTTGAGCCCCCCGGACATGCGAGCCGCCACCTTTGTCTTCTCCACGAGCACCATGTCTGCCGGCTGCGGGACAGCGCCGCAGAGCGGCCGGTGCGACTCCTGCGGGACACGTGTCGTGGGTGTGTCGTAGGCGTGTCGTGTGCGTGTCGTGGGTGTGTCGTGGACGTGTCGTGGGCGTGTCGTGGGCGTGTCGTGTGCGTGTCGTGGGTGTGTCGTGGACGTGTCGCGGACGGTGTCGCCGGGCGCTGCGGCAGTCCTGGCGCCCCTCGGGTAATCTCGGGTACTCTCGGGTACTCTCGGGTACTCTCGGCAGTCATTGCAAACCTCGCGCGACGCCAGCGGCAACGCTGCGTCGGGGTAGACGTGGGGAGGAGGCACAAACGGCGCCGGAGCGAAGCCTCCGCCTCCGCCGCCGCCGCCGCACGCCGCGAAGGGGTCGAAGCCAAAGGCGCCGCCGAAACTGAGACCCGATGCTTGCTCCTCCTCCTCCTCCTGCTGCTGCTGCTGCTGCTGCTGCTGCTGCTGCTGCTGCGCCCTCCGCTGCTCCTCTGCCTTTGATACCTGCAGAGCGTGGCGTGGACTTGTGGGGGCGCATCTGCAACGTGCACGCCGCCGCTCCCTCCGCCTCCGACGCACCTTGCGGCCTCGGCCGCGGTTCTTCGATCCCGAGCGGTCTCTCGGCGGGGGCGCCGCCGCTCCCAGCGCAGCGTCTGCAGCTTCTCGGACCAGCACTGACGGCTGCCTCTGCCGCTGCCGCGCGAGAGGGGGAGCGGCGGACGGGCCGTCGAGGGCGAGCGAGGCGGCGGCGGAGAGGGCGGGCGCTAGGCCTGGGGGGGTGGGGGGGTGGGGGTGGGGGGTTTGGGATGGTGGGGGGTTGGGGGCGTTTTGGGGGGTGGGGGGGGGTTGGAGGGGAGGAGGGCAGGGGAGGGCGGGGCAGGGCAAGGAGGGGGGGGGGGGGGCGGGGGGGGGGCCGGTGGGAGGGGATCACGGTCTCCCCCAGTCATGCAAGGCGGCGGGCGATGGAGGCGGGGGGGCAGGGGGGGGGGGGGGGATTCCCAGGGGGGGGGGGAGGATGCCGGTGAGCAGGGAGGACGCCGCAGCAGCCGAGCTCGAGCAGGCGGCTTCTGCAGCGGCGGAGAGCGGCGGCGCGTTCGGGGCAGCGGAGTGGACGACGAGCTTTGACGGGTCCTTGAGCTGCCCCTTCGCCTTCAGCTCCTGCGGGGGCCGAGACGGGGGCGTGTGTTGCTCTCCCCTCCCTCCCTCCCTCCCTGCCTGCGTAGGCGCTCCTCGGCAAACTGCTGCAGCTCCCCCTCGCAGTGTGCCAGGTGCTTGCAGATCGAAGCGTGGCTGGCTTCCGCGATGTCCTTCTTCTGCTCGTCGATCTGGAGCAGCTCGCGGTGCAGCTTTCTCGCCTACCACCAGATGACCCGAGGTGACCCGAGGTGACCCGAGGTGACCCGAGATGCCCCGAGGTGCCCCGAGATGCCACCCAACTCGCGGTGACCTTTTGCACAACACACGCGTCAAACCCTCAGCCGGCCGCCATCGCCCCTTCGAGCGTGTGCACCGCGTGTGTGTGGCTGGGCCACCCGCGCGCCTTGTGCAGCAACTCCTCGTCCGGGGCCTGCCCGGACTGGACCGACCGCTTGGCGCGCGCAATGTAGTTCTTGCTCTGCTTCTGCATCTTCTCGTAGAGCTCTTGCGCCTAGGCAGGCGGTGCGGGAGGCTCGAGTCGGGAAATGAGGCAGCGCCAGCCGCGCACGACGGATAACCGCGCGCGTGCCACACGCAGCGCGCGGCGAGGAGGCGCCGCACCTGCGTGTCGAGGTCGCGCAGCTGCTTCAGCGCCGTCTTCAGCTCGGACGGCAAGTCCGTCTCCTCGGTCACGCGGTTGAGGAAATTGTCGAGGTAGGACTGCGCCGGCTCCTCGTTGGCGTCCACCGATCGCTCAACCGGCTGGCGGCGCGGCATTGCCCAGAGCCGAGGCAAAAGAAATCACCGAGGGCGCTGGCTGGGGAGACAGCGACGCCCGAAACGCCAGGACCACGGTCTGCGACACGTGGACTCTTCTGGGGCCGCCCCGGGAGCCGCCAGGGAGCGACATGGCACATGCCGGGGACCACTGGACGTCCTCCAATTAACTGTTTCACTCACCACACACGCACGGGCCCCTCCCCTGGTCCCCTGCTCTGCACTCTCGCATCACATGAGACAGCTCACGTCTTCTTATCCTTCATCCGCGCGGCGAGGGTGCGCTCCACGCTGCCGACCACCGCCGCGCCAAGCAGAAGGACGCCGCCCACGAGCGCGACCGGGTGGCGCGCCTGCAGCGCCTGCAGCGCCAGGACGCACGCCGGCATCGTAAAGAAACAGCAGGCGCCGTTGAGCCCGCCGATTGCTGCGCCGACGGCGCACTGCGCGGGCGTGTGCAGGCCGGCGCGTACGCGCAGGGCGGTGAGCGCAGCGCCGAGCGCGAGGGAGAGCGCGGCGCCCGCGTGCCGTAGCAGCGGTGGCGAAAGCAGCATAAGTGGCCGCGAAAGGTGAAGCAGTCGCGGCGGCAGCGTTGCTTCCCAGGTCTCCGCGCCGAGCGCCAAGAAGACTGCAAAGTAAGAGAGGCTCTGCGCGTGAGAGGACGGCATGCCCGGATCCGAGAGCCGTGCGCCAGCCGGGCGAGCAGCGTTGATGAGCCGCTTGAGCACCTTGCTGAGCAGGGCGTTGCCGATCGCGCCGCACAGGAAGGTGACGGTCGCCGCATCGCGACGGACGAGCAGGACGATGAACGCGGAACCAGAGACCAACCACTTGGTCTCGATGAGGTTCATGCGCGCCGCTGCACGAGGTGGCTGAGCCGGGCTGTCGGCCTGCTTGGGCTGCTGGCGAGTGCAGACGACGCCTCACGTCGGCCCCGTAGGCGCGGTTAGTGGTAGCGGTAGGGGACCCGCGGGTGTGAAGCGGTAGCGGTAATCCGGCCCGCGGGCGGCGGAGGTAGCGGTAACAGGGACGGCCAGCAGCCCTCGGCTGGCTGTCCGTTCCTAGTAGCCCCGACGGTTACAGACGGCCGGCGAGCCTTCGGCCCCCGTGAGCGTCGGCCTCTTGCCGTCAGCGCTTCGCTCGCTCCGCTCGCTGCTGGACCCTACCGTCCGCGGTGCGTGAGCAAATGCCGAGCGGCCGCGGGTCGCCGTCGGGCGGGTCGCAACGTCACGACGGCCGCAGCCGCAGCCGCAGCCGCAGCCGTGATTCGCGGTATGATCGGCGGGGTGATCGGCGCGATGATGGGCGCGATGAGGGACGCGGCGGCCGACGCGGCGGGCGATACGACGACCGGCGGCAGCGCAGCCGCAGCTCATCGCGTGGCCGGCGCAGCGACCGGCACAACGACCGGCAGCATCACAGCCGCAGCTCCAGCCAAGAGCGTCGCCGGCGGCGGCATCGGCGCAACCGGAGCCGGAGCCGGAGCCTGAGCCCCGCGAGGCGTGGCTACGAGCGAGAAGAAGGCGCAGTTGATGATCCACCTCGTGCCGGGTAAGGCAATGACCTCGGCCCGGTTTTGTGGGAAGCCTGGGGTCGCTGCGCCCGAGTTGCACAATTCCGGGAGCATCCCGCCCGTGCGTTGCTTGATTCCCGAGCGGCACAATGGCGGCACGTGGACGCTCAGATCGCTCACGGCGTTCGCAGTCAGCAAGCTCGCGTTGACGACCGGCTTCTCCTCCGACGGCACGCGAATCATGTGTGCGAAGGGTGTGCACTGCGTTCGGGCAAGGCGGCTCAAGAGGAGCGACGGCTACTCGCTTGGCATGCCGTCGCTGCGACTCAATCCTGTGTGCAATCGAACTCGAAGAGACGGGCGAGAACGACGGGCACGAGAGCAAGCCTCTCCCAATATTGCGCCTGGCTGACGAGACGCTCCTCCGGCTGCGGGGACTGCAGCAGGAAGCCACTGATCAGACCGCCGAGGCGCAGCTCGCACGTGAGGCGGAGCAGCTGCGACGGGTTGAGGAGGAGCGCGCTGTGCGGCGCGGCGCAGAGGCGGCACGTGCAGCCGACACGTCGAGCACGGGTCGCAAGCGCACGATTTCGGGCTATCAGGCTGAGTTGCAAGCGCAGCGCAGCCGCCGCGGCTAAGTCTCAGACTCGATCTCGGACCGCAGATCGCTTTCTTTTACTCTCCGGGTTGATTGTTTTCTCTTTTAAAGGGCCTTCGAGGCTTCATACACCAGTTATCCGTCATGCACTCTGCTTTTTTATTCTTTTTCTTTTTTCGGCCCAGGAATATTCTATTTCCTCGCAAACGTGAAGTCGACTAGGCCGGCTGCAGCTATAAGTGACTGAGTGAGTGGGGTCTAGCGGTAGCGGTAAACAGCGGGCGGCCTCTGGCGGTAGCGGTAAAGGCGCAGCGAGGTGTGAACGGTAGCGGTAGTCCTGAATCGCTCTACCGCGCCTACGGGGCCGACTCACGTGCTTCGCTGCCCGAAAAGCTGGTTGGCGTTTTTTTTCCCGACCACGCCTCCCTCGCGGTCGATCGCGCCCCGTCTATCGCCGAGCGGCCGAGGCGTCGTTATCGCGCGGCAGAATGGCGTCGCGCGGCGTGCGCGGCCTCGCGATCGTCTGCGTCGGGTCGGCAGTAATCATTGGCTGGGTGCACCACTGGCAGGTACAGGAGCGACAGGCGCCTGCGGCTCAGCCCATACACCCGACCGTCGGCGTGCAACCCTCTCACCGAGTGCCCGATGCACACAGGCGATGCGCGAGGCCGTTCGGCTGGACAAGCAGAGGCTCGGCAGGTAACATAGTGCTGCTGCCAAGTTTTCTTTCTTCATGAGCGGGCCGTAGCCTGCGCTTCTGTTGTTGCGACAGTCTCCCGTCTGGCGTGCTGTCCATATTTTTGTGCAATACCTTGACACTTCCCAACAGTGCACGCGACAAGAGGAAGTCGCACCTGGTGCCGGTGGGCCGCGCACGTTTCTCTCTTTCTCGGTGTGCGGCTTTATCGCGCACGCGACGCTCCGGCTGCGCGCGCGCTCCTCCGCTCACGCTTCCCCCCGGGCGAGCGACGACACCCTCACAACAGAGAGCGGCCACGGCACGTGCCTCTCCACGCTATCCGCCTCGATGTACGCGCGACTTATCGATAGCAGACCTGATCACGCAGTCAACGCCCGAGGGGCGCTTTCGCAACCCCCCAATCCAACTAGCAACTTTCGCCCCCGCACCCCTCCCTCAATCTCTCAGGCTCCCTCAGACCGACAGGGCGTTGGGATGCGCCGGGTCGAGCTCCGGGAAGCGCGCGCTCGGGGGGAGGAGGATGAGCGCCTCCCGCAGCCACTCGGCGAGCCGCCTCGCTCGGACGTTGGCCATGTCCGGGTCGGCGGCACAGCTTGCACACGCCAGCAGCTCGCGTGGCGGGAAGAGGGGCGCGGCGCGCCGCACGGAGGGCGAGGACTGCTCGAGGAGTAGGCGGAGGTTTCTCCACTCGCGGTAGCGCTTCAGGACGGCCCACTCGCCTACGGACGCAAGCGCGCTGGAGGGTGAGACGGCGGCGAGGGAGGGATGGGAGAACGGCACGCCGCCACCACACAGGGATTTTAATAGTGTTGTGGAGTGCGAGGGAGTTTCGTCGTAACATCTCTTTTTTCTGGGGTCTGTAGATTTCCGTGCAGGCTTTTGACCCCATGCGGCAACACTCGGAGTTGGGCCACGGTGACTGGGTTCGGGAGCAATTTCGGGTTGCTTTGCCGTCACCATTCAGGCGCGTCCTACCATGGCAACGCAAGTCAATGTGTGTGTGTTGTGGTAGGAAGGTGAAGAACAGTCAGGCTCGGACAATTATTATTGCTGGTGTGCGCCGGAGGCGCCGCCCGAAACCGTTAATGAGCGGTCGCTGTGCAATGCTCAAGTCGGCAACCATCCGCTCATCCAAAACCGAAATAATTGATCGGATAATGAACGCTCGTTTCGCCCAACAACCCCCATTAGCTGAGACTCGTCAGAGGCAAGTACTTCGGCCGTCCTCACAGGGCGACCCGAAACCCCTCTGAGGGCTCATCAGCGATGCGCTCTAGGCATTGCAGCGCCGACCCCGGCCTCATTCCTGGGCTCGAGTGCCCAGTCTGCCAGGAGCTCAAAGACTGCGAGCAGCACCAGTGCCGCCACGGCCACCACCGACGAGCTGCAGCGAGAGGCGCACGCGCTCCGCGAAGAGCGCGCCGCCGCCGTGTCGGCTCGGCAGCTGCTCGAGGAGCACCTCGCCTCGCAACGCCTGAGCAGCGCTGCGGCGTTGGAGGCGCTCCAGCGGCAGCGATGCGAGGAGCGTGAGCTGCGCGCAGCGTACGAGGCGCTGTTGAGCTCTTACCGCCAGTCCGAGTCGCTGCGGGCCGTCGCCGAGGCGCGGCGCCACGAGGCGGAGAGGAGGTGCGAGGCGGCGCTGAGCGCGGCAGAGGGGGAGAGGCACGCCCGACTGGCGGCGGAGCAACGCATCGCGGACCGGCGGCCGGCCGCGTCCGTGTGTGGCTCGCCGTCGCCGCCCGCGTCCCCGCTTCGCCCCATGCGGGAGCTGTGCGGGGTCACGATGGAGTCGGCGCCGTGGCCGCCTCCGCCGCGCTCGAGGAGTCACGAGTGCTAGCTTACCCACAAAATAGATAACAGGAATGAGTGAGTATTCTTGATGATACGAAACCACGACGACACACACCAGTCGACTCGCATCGGTTGCCTCCACACACACACACACACACACACACACACACACACACACACACACACACACACACACACACACACACACACACACACACACACACACACACACACACACACGAAGGCGAACAAAAGTCCGGCTCGGACTACGGGGAAAGAAGAAAACCGAGGCCGGTCAAACCGTGCTCATCGTGGACTGCCGAGAGCTCCAGAGCTTCTTCTAATCAGCGGCGGCAATGACGTTCGAAGGGACGGAAGAAGAGAAGCAGGCCGAGATCTCCCGGCTCAAAGAGGAGCTATCATTCGGCAAGGCTCAAGTGTGCGCCATGACGGACAAGGGCCAAGCGAAGGGCGGCGCGCAGAAATTGAAGAAGCTCGAGGAGCATCTCTCCGCGACCGTCTTTGCTCTCAAGGAGCTCGACGAGTCCTGGGTACCTGGGCGGTGGGTGGAGCAGCACATCCACTGGGAGACCAAAAAGGAGCTCCCGGGTGAGGCTGGAAAGAGGGGCTCCAACAGTAAGGAGGCACGATCCTCCGGGAACGACGATGAAAACGATCCAGAAGAGGAGGAGGACGAGGAAGACAAGGAGCGTGCCGACGCGGCCGCGGCCGAGGCGGCAGAAAGAGCGCGTCGGCGGGCGGACCTCGCGCAGAAAGCGCTCCAGGACGCGGAGGCGGCGGCGAGCGCGGGCCTGGGCGAGGCCAAGCGGCTGAAAAAGGAGGCCAAGGAGAGGGAAAAGGCGGAGAGGGCGGCGGCGGCGGCGGTGCGTGATGCGGAGCGCAAGGCCCAGGTCGAGGCTCGGCGCGAGAGAATTGCGCTCGCAAAGGCCGCCGCCGCCGCAGAGGCGAAGGCTGCGGCGGACGCCGCGGCGGCAGAGGCGGCGGCGCGGCTCGCGCGCGACGGGCCCGCGGCGGCGGCGACGCTTCAGCGCGTCTGGCGCGGGGCGGCGGCGCGGCTGGCGGCGGCGCGGCTGGCTGCGGCGCGCAAGGAGGCGGCTCGGCGCGAGGCGGCTCGTGTCGCTGCCGCGCGCGAAGAGGCGGCGCGAGAGCAACGGGCGAGGGAGGCGGCGGCGAGGGAGGCGGCGGCGGCGGAGGCGGCGGCGGCGGAGGCGGCGGAGGCGGCGGCGGCGGAGGCGAGGGCGGCGGCGGCGGCGGAGATCGCGCGGAGGAAGGAGGAGGCTGCGTGTCGGCGCACCGTCTCCGTTCCGGTGTGGGGGCGGTGTGTGGCGGGCAAGTCTTTGAGGCTCGGCTGAGGCTCCTGTGGGTGGTGATCGGTAGGTGAAGCTGGTGGGAGGGCTGATAGGCAAGGGAGGGGAGGCGATCAAGAGTCTGCAGCAGGAGGGGTGCGCCTCCATCTCCGTGGGGAAGCCAAAGGCGGGCGACGAGCTGCAGAGGCTCTCGATCAAGGCGTGCTCCGAGCGCGAGGCGGACGAGTGCGAGGAACTGTCTAGGAACTGTCTAGGAACTGTCTAGGAACTGTCTAGGCATGCTCCGAGCGCGAGGCGGACGAGTGCGAGCGGTGGGTGTGGAGGCGGGTGGACGACTTGCGCGCGGCGGCGGCGACACCGCAACACTGCTCTCGGGCGGAGGAGGAGTGCGCCTTTTCCACGGACCCTTCGGCGAGGCGCCGCCTGTAGGCGAGCGGCAAGGGGTCCGCGGAGGAGGAGGAGATCCACACGCTGCTGCGGCTGCGGCCCCGGAGGAGGGAAGCGGTGGGGGGGAGCTGCGGCGGGAGGTCGGCGAGGAGCGGACCTTTCCGCGAAGCTTCTCGGACCTCTCCCTCCCGTAGGTGGAGGAGCTGCACTTGCTCACCGGCGCGCCGCGAGCCGCGTGCGTGGCTGCTCTGACTGCGAGCGGCGGGACGGTCGATGAGGCGGAGGAGGCGCTGATCTCGCGAGGTGAGATGCAGCCGAGATGCGCCGAGATGCGCCGAGATCAGAGGCGGAGGAGGCGCCCACTCTCCGGCGCGCGGCCCCCCTCTGCGGAGGCTTGCAGACCCTTCCCCCCGACCCCTTCCCCCTGACCCCTTCCCCCTGACCCCTTCCCCCTGACCCCTTCCCCTGACCCCTTCCCCTGACCCCTTCCCCCTGACCCCTTCCCCCTGACCCCTTCCCCCTGACCCCTTCCCCCTGACCCCTTCCCCCTGACCCCTTCCCCCTGACCCCTCCGCCCCAGGCCCCTACCCCGCCCTGACCGAGCCTCCTCGCGGCCTCGACGACGAGATTGCGGCCGAGGGAGAGGAGGGGGCGGTGGGGCGGGCGGTGGCGCTGCTCCGCGCCGACGCACAACGCATCGCCGAGCGAGCGGCGCGAGATAGAGCTGAGATACAGCCGAGGTGTAGCCGAGATATATAGCCGAGATGTAGCCGAGGCATAGCCGAGGCATAGCCGAGGCATAGCCGGGGTGTAGCCGGGGTATAGCCGAGATGTAAGGCCGCCGCATCGAGCGAGCGGCGCGAGGCGACGGCTAAGGCGCCGCACGACTGGAGCCTTCCCCGACCCTTCTCGGAACCTTCCGATAGGCGCGCGGCGACGGCAGCCCGCCGCACGACTTTGAGGAGTGGCAGAAGGCGGCGGCGGCGGCCTGGGCTGGCGACGAGTCCGGAGCCGTGCAGGAAGCTTCTCGGACCCTTCCGGTAGGTGCTCGGCGGCCGGTTCGGGACCACGTTCCCCGCGCTCAACGCCAGGATCAAGGCGAAGCACGGCGCGTTTGGGAAGTTCCTGACGCTGCACGCGCACCGTGTCCTGCCGCGCAGCGCCGCGCCCCCGGGTGCCGCCCCGCCCGACCCCGCCGCGTTCGCGCCTGGCGCGGACCCGGCCAAGGAGCCGGTTGCCAACCCGGTGCTCTCCAGCCCGGTGGTCTCCAGCGGAGCGGGCGGAAAGCACCGGGGAGGAGAGCCGAGGGGGGGCGAGGGAGAAGGGGTGCCGCTGCTGCGCCTCCTCCTCCAGTCGTACGGCGCGGACGCGCGCGGCTGGCCGCAGACCAGGGAGGCGCTGCAGGCCGTGTCCAGCTCGGGGGTGAGCAAGGCCCTCTACGCACTCTCGCAGCGCGGCACCGTCGTCGTCAAAGGTGTGCAGCCGCCGCTCCCCGACCCGCGCCACCACGTCCGAGACGCCTCCCTCTGAGCTCTTCCCGCCGGCGCCGTGTGACGCAGGCAACTGGCTCTTCTGGGACGAGGCGCGTGCCGGCGGCGAGCTCGGGCTAATGAACTCTTGATTAACTCTTAATGAACTCTTAATTAGGCGCGTGCCGCCGGCGAGCTCGGGCTGGGGAAGGCGCGTCCGGAGGCGGCGGCGCGGGAGGCGGCGGCGCGGGAGGCGGCGGCGCGGGAGGCGGCGGCGAGGGAGGCGGCGGCGAGGGAGGCGGCGGCGAGGGAGGCGGCGGCGAGGGAGGCGGCGGCGAGGGAGGCGGCGGCGAGGGCGGCCGTCGCGGCGCGGGAGGCGCAGCTGCGGGAAGAGGCGGCGGCACGCGAGGCTGCCGAGGCGGCGGCGGCGGTGGCGCGCGCCGAGGCGATGGCGAGGCTGGTCAAGGAGAGGCAGGCCACGGAGCTGCAGGCCCAGCTGGCTGCACAGGAGCCGCCGCCGCTGCCGCCGCCGCTGCCTCCGCCTCCGCCCTACTCGCCCTTCTCCGGCTCTCCCTTCTCCAGCGCCAGCCCGTACCCAGTCTCGCCGGCGCCGGCCCGCGCGCCTCCAGTCGCCCCGCCCCGCCCGGCCGCCGCCGCCCCGCCGGCCGGCCGGCCGCCCGCCGCCCCGGCCGCAGAGACGCTTCCGCAAAAGGTTGAGCGGATCCGGGCGGCCCTCTCCCTCCCCCCGGGCGGCGGGCTGGTCAAGCTGGTGCGCGACGCCCACGCGGCCCTCGGCATCGAGCCGACCGCTGGCTTGGTGCAGCAGGCGGACTTCCTCCTCGTCCAGATCTTTGGAGAGGCGTGACGGAGGGGGGCAGGCTCCCCGCCTCCTTCCCTAGGGGCCCTCCGGGGCCCGCTTACATGAAGAGTACCGCAGAACGCCCGCCACCCGACCCCCGACCGCGTGTCGGCGCTTGGCATGTACGACTCACAAACGGTACAGTGACATCCGGGAGGCGGCGGGCGGACTGGAGGAGTACGATTACAATTACGGTTCGGTGTGCATGAGGGCTTTTCTGTCCGGGGGGTGGGGGTGGGGGGCGGGCTTTTGCCGGTTGGAGTCTGGAGACTCACAGAGGCTGGAGCGTCCGCTTGTGACGCCTTGTCGCGATGCAAGTGCCACGAAGCGCTATTTCCTGCTCTCTCAGCTCACCACCTCGCCTTCTCTGTCGCCCTTCTGGCCCAGGCCCATCAGTAGCACGTCTGAGCCGTCCCAGACCGCACTTACCTTGGGTCTGCAAGCTCACACCGGGGCTCGTGATGGCTGATGCCGCACGCAGAGGGCTCGAGATTGTCTCTGGTGGGGGACCCCCCAACCGAGGCGATTGCGAGGGCATTCCGAGGAGAAGCTGCCACCGAGTTAGCGCAGACAGCGAGAAACGTCACGCCGGATACCCCACGCCTGTACCATGTACATTGCTGCAGTCGTCGTCTCAACGGCCCCGACTACGCCCCGGCTTTGAGCAATAGCCGCAAACAACGCTTCATGGCACTATCTTGCAAGTTGCATCGCGACAAGGTCACACGCGGACGCTCCAGCCTCTCAGCTCACCACCTCGCCTTCTCTGTCGCCCTCCTGGCCCAGGCCCATCAGTAGCACGCCTGAGCCGTCCCAGACCGCACTTATCTTGGGTCTGCAAGCTCACACCGGGGCTCGTGATGGCTGATGCCGCACGCAGAGGGCTCGAGATTGTCTCTGGTGGGGGACCCCCCAACCGAGGCGATTGCGAGGGCATTCCGAGGAGAAGCTGCCACCGAGTTAGCGCAGACAGCGAGAAACGTCACGCCGGATACCCCACGCCTGTACCTGTACATTGCTGCGTCGTCGTCTCAACAGTCCCGACTACGCCCCGGCGGGGATGGATTTGCGACGCAAAAACGCGAAGATCGATGTACGTCCAAGCCTCTCTCACAAAAGAATTGAAACAACGGAACTCTCTCTCACAGCACAAAAGAATTTATCGCCTCCAGATCGGATCCATGCTTTCTGGACAGGGTGGCCCGCCACAACGACCCCTGGAATTGCAACTCGCCGCTTTCCTCCCACTGTGATCCTTTGTGAGCTCTGTGTCTTGGTTTGCCAACAACATACCAAAACAAAGAATTTAACAACATCAAGTCCAATAATTCAACTGAAAACAAATCTCTCTGCCCAGTCCGGGGGTGCGTCGAACCTTCCATCACCCTGTCGGAAGCGGCGTGCCGGTGGAGGCACGTCCGGGTTTTGGAATATATTACTTGATTGCCGTCCGTCCTCCGTCTTAACTCTATTAGTCGCTTAGGCGGCTCCGGAGTCCGGTGGTGTGCCTGTGTTAGTACCACCCGGTGTGTTAGTGCCAGTCCGCGCCTGCCTGTGTCGAGCTGCTGTGAGAGAAGATGAGAGAGAGTTTTCGAAATCGAGAACAAGTAAAAGAATTCCGGGCAGCGGCAGCGAGGAGGCAGCTGAGCTCCAGCACGCGTCGGCTCCGCCCACAAGACGTGGGAAGGAAGGAGCATGAAAGAGCCCACAAGTGCATGCAGATGTGCCGTCCAAAGTCAGCGTCCAAAGAGGCCATCGTGATGGAACATGTTCTCGAGATGGCCTTTGAGCCAATTCCCGACAGTTGGGTGAGCAGGTTGTGGCGGTTGCGGTTGCGGAGGTTGAGGTGGCGGGAGGGCGGGGGGGGACGGAGGCGGCGCCGGCGAAATCTCGCAGGTTGCCCCCTCGTAAATCGCGCCGCACTTGCAGCAGGCTGAGAGCAACGCAGCGCGTCTGTACGCGAATGCAGACAAACCCTCGTGCTTCTTCATCCCCTCGTACAAAAATTCGTATAAATTAGGGATGTTGCTCAGTGGGCCCGAAAAGGCGTGGAAAGGGTTGTCCGCTGGTATTCCAAACATGTTTGCCCTGGTGACGTTCTTCCAGTACGTGTAGGTCATGATGACTTCCCACATTTGTAGTCGGAGGCAAAAATAAAGGGTCGGCATGTTGCAGGTCCAATCTTCCGGCACCGGGAAAAGGTCGAGCTCCCCTTTCTCCTCGATTTCGGTCAGCTGGACCCCAAACTTAGGGTCCTTGTAATATTCAACGTCTAGATCCACTGTGCTCAGCGGACACTCGAGAGGGAGAGGCAAGCCAAAAATGTAGCCAATCATTGCCTCTACGTCTGTGTTTTCCTCCCAGACTCCTCCCTGCAAAAGTCCGCCACAGAACTGGCGCGGTGAGGGTTCTTGGATAGCAAGGGAGTTTCGTGTGAGCTTGTCCATTTCGCTCCAATCGCCGCCAACCTCAGTCGGAATCGCTTTGAGCTGCATCCGAGTGCGATGTTCTGGATCCGTATCGAACTGCTTCTCAATAACGCACATGAATTTGGCAAAGCTCGAACTCGTCACGGATGCGCACTCTCTGTCGATACCAGCCTTGCACGTCGCTGTCAAGGCGTCTGCCGCATTGATTGGCAGATCGCGCGAATGCGTCAAGTCTCCCGATAAGTCAGGGAGCTCGAGCGGCACACCAAAGACGGTCCACTTTTCTGGCAGGTCCTGCACCTGCGCTCGAGATGGAAGGGCCCGGACTAGTGTCCAGCATAGGCCACCAAGGCAAAGCGCGGCGATGCTGACAGGCCACGCCAAATGGCGTCGCAGCGGAGATGCTGCCCCGGTGGTAGGGAGCATGTTGCCGTGAGTTGCGCGGCCTTCGCCGACGGCCGATAGTTTTCTTCGAGGTTCACGTCTGAAGCAAGCCCTGATGCAAGATTTTTGCCGTGCCGGCCCATGCCTAGACCGCTAACTCGAGCGAGCCCAGGCAGCGCCGGGACGCTCCTCTCCACCGTGATGCTCACCTCGCCATCATCGTCACCACGACGTGTCAGCTACGTCCCGTCAGCTAGCTGCGGACGGGCGTCGCCCGCGACACATGCGCACGTAGCCCGACAACACTCAAACGCTCTGCACTCAAACGCTCTGCGGGCGGCTCCAACTGTCAATGTCGTCTCGCATTACCGGTATACGCGGGCCTGGCTGCTCTACTGTAGGTGGGTCGCGTCCCCCGATGCGGGCGCAGCTGCGCGAGAACATCCAGTACGTGATGGCCGGGCTGCGGTCTGCAGCTGCGCAGGCGCGCAGCCAGGCCGGGTCCAAAATGGGGGTCGAATACTCGCTGCCCCCGGAGAGGGACGACGGGTATCGACGCGGCCCCAGCAAGGTGTACGCCACAGTTCCCCAGGGGACCGTGGCGACGACCGTCGCCTCGGACTGGCTCGCGAACGAGCTGGCCGAGCACGGAGAGATCGATGCGGCATACCGCGACCGCATAGTCATGCACCTGATGACGGCCGCCGGCGCCTCGGCGCCGGCCGACGCCGTGTTCAGGTTCACGGCTGGCGACGCGATGCAGACCGAGGACGACGACGAGGACGCTGACCGCTCCGAGGATTATTCCGACGACGGGAGGGCGTCCGACTTGTAGCTGGCCTCACCCATATCTTACCCTCTGCCCCCCCCTCCTGCTACCCCCCAGGCTAGATGGTCACAGATAGCCCCACACAGCCCCTTACCCCTTCACCCTCGCCTCGCTGGTGTTTCTGAACACGTAGACGACCACGCTGTGGGGGTTGTGTTATAGGAGTAGGAGTGGGGTGCAGGTTGCTCACCCACGGCACCGGGCCGGTGCTTGCACTTTGAATGCCGTGGGGCTCCTGCCCGTGTCCCGGGCGTGGAGATGCGAGGGTCGCCCCCCCTTGCCCCACCACTTTGTGTGTGTGGAGACGTTTACCTTACCTTACCTTACCTTCCATCATCTCACCCTCCATACCCTCTATCGTACTACACGGCGGCGCGGCCTCCTCCCTCAAGGCCTTGTGTATGAACTCCACTCTCTCTGACGTCCTCTACGTAACTCTCTCACGACTCACTCGAGAGTATCCCACGCGCTCAATCTCCCTGCGGTATCGGCGGTGACGCGACGACTGGCGCCGAGGCGCAGCGGCGGGCAGCCACCTCGCTAAAGTCCTCCCGTCCCGCCTCCGCGTCGTGCTGCGGCGAGGCGGCTGCTCCAAGCGAGAGCGCGGCGCCGTGAGCTCGCATGTCGCCTTCGGTGACGCGTGGCTGGCCCTCGAGGGTGAGCGAGATCTCGCGAGGCGAGCGGCGGGCCGACGGGGCGGAGAGCTGGCGGCGGGCGGGCGAGCGGGTGAGGCGGCGGCGGCAGGCGCGCTGCACCGCGGGGTGGCAGAGGAGGAAGAGGGCGATGGAGAGGAGGGAGACGACGAGGAGGGGGAGGGCCGACTGCGTCGAGGCGGAGAGCGGGATCGGGACGAGGACGTCGAAGAAGCCGCCTCCGGTGATGAGCACGTGGAGTTGATTACCTCTTAATTAACAGTTAATTAACAGTTAATTAACAGCTAATTAAGAAGCCGCCTCCGGTGATGAGCACGTGGAAGATCTGCTTGCACGTGAAGTCGCGCAGCACGGGCGTGGCGTCGTTGGGGTCCGCCATCCGCAGCAGCAGCAGGCCTGTGGGGAGGTGTCTAGGGCATGTCTGGCAGTGTCTAGGGAGTGTCTAGGCGGCAGCGGAGCCTGTCGAGGTAGCCCCGATCGAGACGCCGAACTCGACGAGGGCGCGCTCGGCCCAGTGGTCGGGCAGCAGGCGCGGCGCGATGAGCCAAAAGGAGAGCACGCCCCACACCAGCCCGGCTGGGGGAGGGAGGGGGGGGGGGGGGGAAGTGGGCCCGAGGCAGCGGAGGGGCAGACCCGAATCTCGGCTCGATCTCGACTCGATCTCGGCTCGATCTCGGCTGTGGCTCGCCAGCACAGACGAGCGCGAAGGGCGCCCACGTCTCCGCGATGATGCTGAAGAAGGGCCCGAGCCCCGTCACGCCAGGGGGGAGGCCTATGGGGGGAGATGTGTGGGGAGAGATGAGGAGATCTCGGGAGATCGAGCCCCGTCACGCCAGGGGGGAGGCCAGATCGTCCGAGCCGCGCGATGGCGGTGGTGATGAGGAGGTCCTGCGCCTTTGGGGAGAGAGATGGGGAGACGTGAGGAGATGTCGGGAGATGGCGGCGGGGATGAGGAGGCCGTGCGCCGTGTTTGAGACGCGGACGATCGTCTCGCGGTCAATGAAGGACTTGCCGGAGCGGTGGTCGGTGAAGTGCGAGTCGACGACGGACTGGAGCGCGAGACTGACTCAGGCACGGGGACAGGTGTGAGGGGGAAGGGTGGCGAGAAGGCTGGCGGGGTGGTGGGTCAGGCGCGGGCCCGGCGATGAGGCAGAAGAGGAAGAGCGGCAGGACGGAGAGCAGGTTGGACCGCTCGAGGAACGAGCCTGCGAGATGTGGGGAGATGTGGGGGAGATGTGGGGGAGATGTGGGGGAGATATGGGGGAGATGTGGGGGAGATGCTCGAGGAACGAGGTTGCGGAAGCAAGGAGAGGAGACACGTGAGCAGCAAGAAGGGGCTGGGAGCAACTTGGCGCGCGATCTCTCTCTACTCAGAGAGAGAGAGAGAGAGGGCGAGAGGGCGACAGAGAGGGCGAGAGAGAGAGAGAGAGAGAGAGAGAGAGAGAGAGAGAGAGAGAGAGAGAGAGAGAGAGAGGGAGAGAGAGAGGGAGGGAGAGAGGGAGGGAGAGAGAGAGAGGCAGGGAGAGAGGCAGAGAGAGGGAGAGAGAGAGAGCCGAGCCTGCGGGGAAGGCGAGCTCGAGTAGCACGATCGGGACGCGCAGCAAGTAGCCGCAAAACATCACCAGCATCACGAGGCAGATGTGAAACATCAGCGAGTCCAGCGACTCGACGGACACCGTCTGCTCGGCGGCAGGAAGCCGTGCCCGCCGGTGCGGAGCGTAGTGGTCGCTCTCCGGCGCCAACGCGACGAGCTCGGTCATCGACGCGCGCGCGCGCCGCAGCAGCCCCGCCCTCCGGCCAGGCGTGCCTGCGCTGCCTCTCTCTTCGGCGCGGCTCGAGGAGTTTGGGCGGTGCGGCGGCGCGACGACGTGCAGCGAGTTCGCCAGCGGCGCGACGTTGACGAGGACGGCGCCCGCGACGACGCCGACGAACATGCCGAGGATGGCTGCCGCGAGGGAGAGGTCGAAGCCATCCGGGTAGTGGCCGACGTCGACGAAGAGGTCCTAAAAAATAAAAATTATCATATATATATATTATTGTTATTTTATACAATAGTACTATTAGAAGAGGTCCTTCATGGCGTAGGCGACGACGGGGCCGCCGGCGTACCTGCTCACTCCAGCAGGTGTGAAGAAGCGCTGCTCGCAGCAGGAGGCGGGTACGGGACCGCCCCCGCGTGCCCGTACGGCATCACCGCGGCGAAGGAGGGGGGTAGGGAGGCGCCGTACGAGGCGGTGAGTGCCGCCGAGACGGCGTACTGGCCAAAGACGACGAGGACGCCGTAGATGAGGTGCTCCTAATAATAATATATAATAACAGATGATAATGATGTATGATAATGTAGGACGCCGTAGATGAGGTGCTCCTAAAAGAAGATATAATAACAGATGATAATGATGTATGATAATGTAGGACGCCGTAGATGAGGTGCTCCTAAAAGAAGATATAATAACAGATGATAATGATGTATGATAATGTAGGACGCCGTAGATGAGGTGCTCCCGGCGAGGCGAGGAGAGGACGTCAGCGAGGCGTGGGACGGAGGTGCCTATTCACAGCCCGAGGTGTGAAGAGACGCTGTTCACAGCGAGGCGGCGAGGCGTGGGGCGGAGGTGCCGAGGAAGAGGCAGCAGAAGACGACGTTGGTGCAAAAGCCAGGGAGGACGTCCCATCCGACGGAGAACCAGTCCTCCATGAGGGAGGTGCCTAATTACGAATTCTTAATCCTTTAACTATTAATCACCGAGAACCAGTCCTCCATGAGGGAGGTGCCCGGAGGGGCGACCAAGTCGACGCAGGCAAAGAAGACCCAGCCGACGAAGCCGCCCAGCACCGAGGCGGGGAGGTGGAGCGCCTGCAGACATATGTCTCGGACTTGTCGCGGACGTGTCCCGGACAGCTCCCGAGGCAAGGAGGTGGAGCGCCCTCAGCACGCGCGAGGTGCGGCGCAGCTGGTGGCCGGCGAGCATGAGCAGGCAGAGGAAGCACGCCGACGTCACCACCACGTTGTCCATCTTTGAGCGAAGCGACTTGCGCGCGTACTCGAGCGTCACGTTGCTTCCGCCGGCAGAGACGGAGTCTGTCGCGAGGAGGAGAGCCTCGAGGAGGAGGACGGAGCCGACGAGCGAGCAGAAGACGGCGGTGCACAGCCCGCACCGCAGCGCCCGCCGCAGGTTCTTGCCGTGCCGCGACTGCGGGAGAACTTCAGAGCGCTCTGGCGAGGTCGGCAGCGGCGGGCGGTCGAGGTCCGGCAAAGGCGACTCGTCAGCAAAGGTGACGCCGCGCGAGCCCAGCGCCGGCTCGCCGCGCTCGTCGGATGCGTCCGGCCAGGTGGATGCGCCGTCGAAACTGGGCGGGAAGGGATCGGCGAGCGGATCGTCCTTCCAAGACCCTTGCTCTGCAGGACGGGAATCGCCACTCCGCCCCGCCACCCCGCCGCTCGTCCCCTCCAGAGTCATGTAAGGGGACGAGCTCCGATCGCGATCGGAACCCTCCCAAATTCGGGCGGCGATCGTCGTAGTTTCAGCCTGGGCCCTTGCGATGGCGGGCGAAGCGAGCCAGGCACAAGCTTTCGGCGCTGTGGCAGGATTCGGGTTCTAGCCGATGGAGGGCGGCAAAAGATACACCACTGTCAAGTCCGAGCCTGACTGTTGTTCATCTTTCTACATACATACACCACTGGTCTCCCCGCTTTCCCCCCCCAAGAGTAAAAGAATACTCCATCCTTTTTCGGGGGCACAAGTGACAAGAATCAAGATCAAGAAAACCGCACATCATGTTGGGTTCCAACGCTGGAACCTGGGTACCTGAGAGAGAGAGACCTGTGTGGGCAGAAAAATAAAAACAGAAACAAGGACCATGTCCATGTACTAGTAGTATAATAGTAGAGGATTATAAAAATCGGGCGGTTGCGAGCTAGTACACTCGGCCGCTTGGTTTTGCTATGCCGGGCAAGAAGGGATGGCAGTTGTGGCACCATTTCAGAGGTTGGTTGGTAGTTGTAGCTGACCACAGGTTGGTGTTGCCACGCATCGATGCAGCCGGAGCAGCCGTTAATCGCGCCGACGTTGATGGGGAGAGGCGGAGACACGGCGCTGGGAATGGAGCAGCGGTCGCCGGAGCAGCGGCCGCCGCCTGCTGCCTCGCCGAGAGCAGCGGTACAGGTGGTGCTGCTGCAGCCCCTACTGGCGGCGGCGAGCGTGCCTTTGTACGCCGGACCCATTCAGTGGATGGGGCAGTTGGCAGGCCCGATCAGCGGTTTCGTTGGAGGAGGCACTCTTCCTTTGTCTCGTGCAGTCGGCATTGGTCGGCCCGATGGCGGTGGCCGTGGTGGTGGAGTCGGGCCGGTGCGAGCGAGGAAGACAAAGCGGATGGACCGCCGGCTGACGCACTGGCAGTGCAGCTACTGCCGACGCGAGACGCCCAATGATTCACGATCAACGAAGTGCGGTCACTGTGGTGAAGCAAAGGCGCAGTTGCGGGATGCCGACGCCAATGGACGGGAGGCGGCGCGGCGTGCTCAACGTGCCAAGGAGTACCAGGGCAGGTCGCTGAACGCACTGGGCGTTGGGACGGCCTCTGTGCCGCGAGCGGCGCAGGGAGTGTTCGAGCGGACGCGCGCAGACGCGTTGGTGCGGTGGGAGACAGAGCAGCTTGAGCAGTACACTGGCGCGGCTTCTTACCTTCGACGGGAGGACTGCGTGCTGGGGGTGATCGAGTCGTTCTTCATTGTGCAAACGGGCGCGCGCGTGAGCGTGATTGACGAGTGCAAGCGTTCGTGCATCACCGAGACGGATGTTGCCCGCCTTTTCAACGCAGTCGGGCGGCGTGTGGCTACGGGTGTTCCGGGCGAGGACACCTTCCCGATGGGCGGCTACTTCAATGAGTTCCGACGCGAGGGTGTGAGCGTGGAGCTGGTGCGTGAGCTGCGGACGGTGGTCACAGGCGCAATCGCTGCGATCGGTGGCGATGTGTCAGCCTCCCTTAATGGGTAAACCCTGCCATGTACTGCATGTCACTCCCGGTCGCCAGCTGCTCCTCTCTAGTCTGCGTGACCCTGCACAAGGGTGGGCATGCTCCGCGCGAGCTCGCCGCGCGGCGGCCAGAGCAGCAGCGGGCTCACCGCCCGCATGATCACGTCGTAGCCACGGCGCCGCTTCTGCGAGCGCCCGTCCATGAGGGGCACGGAGGCGGCACGGAAGAAGAGCCACATCAGCGGCGCACCGACGGCGAGCAGCGGCTCGGCCTGCGCGGCGCCGCTGCTGAAGCCGAAGCCGAGCAGGCCCGACCAAAAGGTGCACTCGCCGCAGTAGTTTGGGTGGCGGCTCCACCTCCACAGCCCGACGGCGCAGCTGTCCCGCCCGCCGCGGTCGCGCCGGAAGCGAGAGAGCTGCGCGTCGGCGACGGCCTCGAGCAGGATGCCTCCGCCGGCCAGCAGCGCGGCGGCGGCGTCGAGCGTGTTGAGCGGCGGCGCCGCGGTGCCCTGCAGCAGCACGCGAGACGCCGGAGCGAGCGCCGCCCACACCAGCAGCGTCGGCGTGAGGTGGAGCGAGGAGAAGGAGAAGGCCCAGTACGCTGGAGAAGGCAGCTTCGCGCGGAAGTCGGCGTACCGCCAGTCCTCGCGCTCCAGCCCCACCGTCCAGCCGTCCCACGGAATCGCCACAAAGAAGCGCACCGCCCACGCCCACAGCAGGACCAAAACGAGCGTCTCGCGCGGCTCGTAGAACCAGACGCCACCAGGCGCGAGGCTCTTGAAGAAGATCCCGAGCCACAGCGGCAGGACGCACCAGAAGGGGTCGTACACAGACGAGTTGTTGCTCGCAAACGAGAAGGCATACACAATCGCCGTGGCGATAGCATCGAGGGCGAGACCCGTCGATAGCGGGCCGAGCGACGTGGCCGACGCGAGCGTGGGCGCGACCGCAGTGATGGAGATCAAGGCCACGGCGTACGCTGCCCGGCAGGTGGTGGCGCTGACGATGGTTGAGGCCATCCGGTGGTAGTGGCACGGGGGCGGCGGCCCGCCGACGAATGGTTGAGCCTCCGACCTTGCGCACCCCCGCCCTCCGCCACCCCACGCGCCCCACACGCACATACAGGACAAACCCGGCGTTCTGCTCAAAAGAAAAATGAAAATCGGGGGAGACTCCCCGCCTATGCAACACCCCGCAGAGGGGCTGCCATCGCCGAAGCTGTGCCTAAGCATAACTCCCAAACCCGCAGCGGCCCGGGCGGGGGGCCTTGGGGGCAGCCTGCCGGAACGCTGGTGCATGGGGCCAAGCACCAGAAGATGAATGTGGTTGACGGATTGGGCTGTCGACCGTGCCTCCCCTCTTTGCGTCAGAGTGGGACCTACGCCGCGCCGGGTAGGGGGCGCGCCCGGTCCTCGACGGAGCCGCGCGCCCCGAGAGCGACCCAGGCGGCGAGTAGTCGCCCTCGAACCTTCGGCATGTGTAGTAGTCCGTGGTTAGCGCCCCCCCGCCACCCCTCCCGCCCGTCCCTACTCGAACTGGTCCGGAGGCGCCCGCGGCATCCCGCCGCCCATCTTCGGGTGCGCGTTGTTGGCGAAGATGGCAGCGTTGCGCCTCGCGATGATGGTCGAGTGCACTTGCAGGAAGAGCGCTTGCGCTCACCGCTGATCCGCCAGCGCTCGCTATCGGAGGATGCCCGGGCGGTTTTGGCGGCGAAGTTGGTGGTGAACCACGCCGCCGCCTCTCTCCCGATGCCGCCGCGCGTGCTCGACGCCCACGTCATGAGGGCGAAGTCGTTGGCCTCGCACGCCGCGGTTTTAGCCCTCCTTGTCGTCGCCTCGGCGTAGTCGGTGGCGAGGCGCGTCTTTTCTTGCGCAGTGTGTGTATGTTACACACAGTGTCTTGTCTTGTGGTTCTGTGTGTCGCTCCTGTGTGACCGTCATCGCCCGTCTTGCGTCCACCCCGATACCCGCGTTGGTGTCCCAGTCGTTGGTCGGGGACTGTGATTCAGACTGTGTTTCGCCTTCCCATTGGTCAAATCTCAATCATACACACACTCACTCACACACACTTGCGCGCAGTGTCGTGCGAGGGAGCTTTCACATGTTGTAAAATTCTTTCTTGCACACCTGTGTCGAGCCCCTGTCTGCTGGAGAGGTGTTTTGCGGTTAAATTCTTTCTTGCACACCAGGGGCGAGGGGGGTGGGCGAGACCGCCGCACACCGTCCTCCTAAAGTATGGCGGGGACTATCGCTACGCCCTCTACTTGCGCACGAGCCGCTTCGCAAGCTTGGCGCCCACATACCTCGCGGTCGTCACCGCGCCGCCCGTGAGGAATCCCTTGACGGTCTGCGGCGTGCTCGAGCGCGACACGAGCCGGCCGAGGGACGCGCGCACCGCCTCGCCCAGCCGCGCCGCCCCCTCCTGCGCCCCGCCCGCCTCGGCGTAGAGCCGTTCCGCCGCGTGCTCGAGGGAGGCGTCGCAGCGCGGGGCGGCGCGGCCGCCTGGCGCCGCGGCTCGCGAGGGCAAAGGGGGCGGCAGCCTGGGGAGCACGCGCCACGAGGGTCAGCGAAGAGGAGGGAAGAGGAGGAGGGCGGGTCTAGCGCTCTCGTGTGCTCGTGCTGAGTAGAACGGTTTCGACGTGACGGCCACAACGTGCTGCCAGCTGGGCGTGGGAAACCACAGCAAAGCGCAGCGCCTTCCCCGGCCGCTCTCCGCGCGATCCGATTGCGCATCTACGGACGGCGACCAGCGCCGCAGCGTCACGCCGAGCTCCTCCCGCGCGCAGAGCGGGAGCGCCTACGAAGAGTCCGAGAAAGGTCGTCGAAAAGCCCAAAACGCGAACGCCCCTCACGCGCGCGCAGAGGGGAAGCGCCGCCAGCAGCGGCCCGCGCGCGGCGAGGCAAGGGGAGAGCGTGTACCGCATGTCTCCACCGCCTCCGCCGCCGCCGCCTCCGCCGCCGCCTCCGCCGCCGCCTCCGCCTCCGCCTCCGCCTCTGCCGCCTCTGCCTTCTCCGCAACGGCCGCCGCCGCCGCCGCCGCCGCCGCCGCCGCCGCCGCCGCCGCCGCCGCCGCCGCCGCCGCCGCCGCCGCCGCCGCCGCCGCCCCGCGCCTCTCCGCCTCCTCCGCTGCCGCCTTCGCCTTCACCTCCTCCGCGGCCGCCCCGCGCCCCTCCGCCGGCGCCGCCTCCCTCGGCCGCTGCCCCTGCAGCCCCCTCGGCTGCCTCCTCTGCCGATGCCCACTTGACGGGCCGCAAGGCAGCCACCGCCGCGAGAGGCCGCGCGTACCTGGGCGGGAGAAGGCTCCGAGACGCTCCGTGGCCGGCGTCCTAGGCGCACGCCACCGCAGGGCTGTGTGTACGATGCGCCGCGGCGATCTCGGTGGATCTCGGTGGGATCTCGGTAGGATCTCTCTCGGGCAATCTCGGGCAATCTCGGCTGATCTCGCGTACATGCGCCGCAGCGTCTCAAGGTGCGTCGCGGTAAGCTCGCTCGGCCGCGACGCCTGGGAGAAGGAGGTCGCACCCGAGATCACCCGAGATCACCCGAGATGACACCGAGATGACACCGAGATGACACGAGATCGCCGGCCGCGCCTCGACGACCACCTGGCGCGGGTCGCCGGTGTAGGAGAGCGAGCAGATGTCGCGCAGCAGCGCGCCCTCCTCGAAGGCGGGCGGCTGCCTGCGGGACATGTCGCGGACATGTCACGGACGTGTCCTGGACATGTCCGCGAGCCCTCCTCGACGGGCGGCTGCATCAGCAGCGCGGCGGCGGCGGCCGATGCAAGGTTCGCCTCGGCCGCCTATGGAGACGTGCTCCGACACGTCCTGGACACGTCCTGGACACGTCCGATGCCGAGGCCTCGCCTCGGCCGCCTCGCAGACGAGCGGGTCGGACTTGACGGTCTGCACCGGCTTGTGCATCCGGCCGGCGAGGTAGAGGCTCCGCCAGCAACGGAGGTCGTCGAGCAGCGCACTGACGCTCACGACGCCGTACTTGATCCTCCGGCCGCGCCACGGCACATACGCGTTGTAGTAGACGCCCGCGCCCGCCCGCTCCTGCACCGCCGCGACGGCGCGCGGCCCGAGCATCCCGAGCGGCGAGTAGTGGGCTGCGTGCTTCTCGAGGTTGAGCGCGTGCCACGCCTCTGCCTCGCGCACCGCAAAGACAAGGTCCGTCATCGGGATGCTGCCGGAGGCTGGCGCCACGAGCGCAGAGCCGTACACAAAGGCGTGCTCAAAGTGCGGGAAGTCGGCGGCGAGCGCAGCAATCTCCTCCGCCGAGAGTGGGCCGCAGGACGCAGAGGAGGCAGGGTCGTCGGTGACGGAAGCCATCGTGTGCGTCCTACGCAAGCGAAGGGCGTAGAAGCGTGTGAAGCAGCGCGGGAATGGCCGTCCAACGAGAGGACGAAAATGAGAATTTTACAACAGCCCTCGCACAACACTGGGCACGGGACTGGCGCGCACTGGCACTAACACAGGTACACCACGGGAGCCGCCTAAGCGACTCCTGCGAGGGTGGCGAGGCACTTAGCTCCGTGCACCCGCCCATTTAAACATTATAGGTGTCTCTCACAGCAGACAGGCTCGACACAGGTGCGAACTGGCGCGTGCTAGTGCTATCACAGGCACACCACCGGAGCCGCCTAAGCGACTCCGTTAAGAACGGCAATGCACTTAGCACCGTGCACAATGCCGCTGTCCCCGCACGCTAGCTCGTTCACCGTCTGCCACGCCACAGCGGTGTGGAGGACGACAGACAAGCGCTGCATCTGCAGCCCGTGCCAGTTCTTGGTGGTCCATGTGACCTCATCGAGGTGCTGAGCGTGCGAAAGTTTGTTACTCAGCTGGTCCGCCGCCTGCCGAAGAATTTTGCGGACGCCGTTCCCGAAGCCGCCGAACGTCTCGAAGTCGAGCAAACGCAGGTCGCAATTCTTCTCCCGCGCGAACCGCGGTAGTCGCCCTTGGCTTCTCGTAGGGGGCCGTCACAGGTGCCCCCGCCTCCGCCTCCCCCTCACTCTCCTCCTCCTCCTCTTCCGCCGCCGCCGCCTCCGCCTCTGCATCCTCCGTCGAAAATGAGAATTTTACAAGAAAACTCGCTCGCACAACACTGGGCACGGGACTGGCGCGCACTGGCACTAACACAGGTACACCACTGGAGCCGCCTAAGCGACTCCCGCGAGGACGGCGAGGCACTTAGCTCCGTGCACTCGACCGCCCTCGCCGCCTGGCAAGCTCAAAATGAGAATTTTCAACCAAAACTCCCTCGCACGACACTGGGCACGGGACTGGCGCGCACTGGCACTAACACAAATGGCGCGCTCTCACAGGAAATGAGAATTTTACCACAAGGCGGTCGCACGACACGATTCGCGCGACAGGCGAGGCTCGCTGCGCGGCCCGCGTCCTCCAGAGGCGAGGCGATCCGGGCGCGTCCAAGGGGCGCTCAAGAGGGCGGGAGAGCGCAGGGCGGCGGCGCGGCTAGCGGCCAAGACGGCCAAGGCGAGGGAGACGAGCGAGCGCGGCGAGGCGGCGAGGCAGGCGGTCGCCAGGGCGGCGGTGGCGCAGGAGGCGGCGCTCGCTGAGCGGGAGTGGCGGGCGGCGGAGAATCGGGCGGACATCCTCGGCGCCACCGTGCGGCGCGCCGAAGAGGCGGAGGCCAGGCGCATGCTCGCCGCCGACCGCCGCGTCACCGCTCCTCCGCCGTCGGACGCTGAGGCCGTCGCAGGGCTGGTGCGTGCTACTACATGCAAAGAGCAGCCGTGGTTTCAAACTAGCGCTCGGAGAAGACACCGCCGAGGCTGCGACTGCCCAGGCACCGTCTGAGGGGGAGCTTGGACGGTCCCGTCGCTCTCTAGGTGCGCGCCAACGACGCGTCCGTCCTCGTCTCTCCGAAGACGCAGCGGTGGCTGTAGACAGAGAGCAATCGAGGGGTCCCGTACCATGCGGAACCGACCCTATCCAGTGCTCAAGTGCTCAAGAGAGCATTCCAGCAAACACCCGGCGACGAGACAAGACACTCAGCCAACAGGACTGCCAACAGGTGGCTCGAGACGAGCGTATCGGCGCCGGCAGCAGAGGAGGCGCAAGTCGCGGCGGCGGCCCTGGCGACGCCCTCCGCTGCACCGCCGCCGCTCGACCTCCGCCTCTGCTCTCAGGCCACCCCGAGCGTGGAAGAGGTGGCGGGGCTGGAGGAGGCGGGTAGGGAGAGGGAGGAGGCGAGGGAGGAGGAGGAGGCGAGTGACGACGAGGCGGAGGAGGCCCTCCTCGGCGTCGCAAGGCCGCTCTCCCGCCCGCGCGGCCGTGCAGCGGTGGCGGCTCTTCTCGTCGCCCTCTCTGCCGCCGCCGACAGACGGCGCCGGGGCTAGGCGACCGAAGAGGAACTACGGCAAGAACCGCACACCACCCGCTGACGAGCGCTCGCGGAACTGGTCCGCGGCGCCCGCCAGGGGAGTGCGCGAGACAGGGCTCGGAGCCCTTTTCTGTGAGCAGGGATTCCCTCCCGGCGGGGGTTGTGGCGGAGAGCCGGCATGGGAATCGCCGGCCCCCACCCAGGGGGTGCCCCTGCCAGGCGCCGCAAGCGGTGCCCGACCGGGGCGGGTGCCCCCACCCCGAGGGGTGGGGGCGGGGTCGGGGCCCAAAGTGATTCGGCCTATCGCCTCGGCAAGGTCCTCGGTGCGATTACATTCCTTCCGAGGTTAGCCGAAACGGACTTCGGCGCCGCGTTCTCGTGCTGAGTGCGGCTGGCACGATGGCCGTGCCTCTCAAGATTCACGCTCGTCATCCACAACGGACTGCAATGGCTCGAGGCGTACGGTCGTCGTCGATGGCAAAACGGACTACGACGACTGTGATGGCCATCGCTCTCTCCGCCGCGCCCATTGCCGACGCGCTCGGCTCCTGCCCGCCGTCGTCGCTAGGGGTTGTGCGCCGGGCCCTCCTGCTCGGCTCCAGCTAGTAGACAAGTGTTGTCATCAACAGAGTAGACCTCTCGGAGCCGACGTGACCAAAAAGTGAAGCTAGACACCTATATAGAGGGTCGACAGCGTCCTAATCTAAAACCTGAGGATTCAGGATACATTGAGGCATCGCTTCAGTGAGTGCCAAAGTGAGTTTATGGATGTCATGTATGAGAACGGTACTTACGAAACACGAGGAGTGTCACCTGTCAAACGCGGACCGGGACGCGGGAGCTGGGGGAAGCCAGATGTGCGGTAGCATTTTTTGTATTTACACCGTCTGCTACCGTACCGTGCGGTGAAAATCTCGGCACATCATGTGGCACATCGTGGGAACGGTGGGCCCCCCCTGCACAGGCTGCGTGTTCGAACCGTCAGAACTCGCCGAGTCGGTCTCTGGTGATCTCGACAGTGGCTGCAACAGCACCACCGGCACCTGTACCTGTGGAACGTCATTACGGCTGCCCGTCCGCTTGTGACTCCCGCGGCTCTCCGGGCCGCCGCCGCACGGGGCGCACCACCGCCATGTGGTGGCGGAGGAGCTGCCACTGCCGCCGGAGCAGCCCCGCGTCGCACGGCACCGCGCCCATGCTGCGCAGCACGAGCCGCAGGCTCACCTTGCGGTGCTCCACCGACGGGTAGAGCGGCACGGCGAGTGTGTCGTAGAGCTCGTAGGGCGGCTGCTGCAGCACCTGCGGCGTCTGCTGGAAAAAGGCACGGAAAGGGACGCCGCCGCTCGCAGGATCCTGCTCGTGGACCGGGGCGATGGCGATGCCCCGGTCCATCGCCGCTTGCACGAGGCGCGCGACGGCACCGCTGGCGTCCAGGAAGGTCTTGTCGTTCAGGTAGAGCAGGAGCACTACGTGTCCGGAGAGCGGGGCCGCGTTGGCTCCCTCGAGCGCCTCCTCCGCATCGCGGATCACAACCATCTCAGCGTTGGTCTCAGCAGAGCCGTGTCCCTCGCCCGCCGCCGTCACGACCTCCCCTGCGACGCCGACGGCGCTCTTGTTGCCGCGGCACACGAGGATGGTGACGGGGCCGATGAAGGCATAGGGCCCCGGCTGGCGAGGCACCATCAGGCCGGCTTCAAGCTCAGCCGGGCGGCTCGCGTAGTACGGAGAGTGCAGCAGCATGCGCAGCGCGACAGCCTTGAGCGACTCGAGCTGAAAGGCGTTCACCCGCACCCACACGATCGGCTCCGCCTCCTCAAACACGCGCGCGAGCATCTCTTCTGGCCCGCCGTAGGAAGGGTAGGCTGGCGGGGCGGCCTCGACGCAGTTCTCGCGGCACTCGGCCTTCAGCGCCGCGATCGAGGCGCCGCCCTTTGCCGGGTCCGCCTCGTGGATCGGGATGAAGGGCCGGTTCGAGGCGAGCGCCGCGTACAGCTCGCGGCGACAGTTGTAGCTCTTGAAGAAGCCGGCGCTCATGAAGAGTAGGAAGGTCATGGCGTCGGCCACAGACTCCTCCAGCATCCCAACGTCGTCGAGGCTGTCGACGTCGAGCCAGATCCGGACGCCGGGGAGAAGAAGCTGTAGTCGCCTCACGATGGTGTGGGTCTGGTCCTGGCCGGTCCCCCACGCGTGCGAGATGAAGCCGTGGAAGTGGCACTCGGGGGACAGCTCGAGGGCAGGCCGTCGGCCAGAGGAGGCGAGGCGGATGGTGGGCGCGCGGACGGCGCTGGCGATTCTGAGGACAATGATGAGCAGCGACGCGGCGAGCATTGCGGCGGTGAGCGCGACTACAAACGCACTTGCGCCGCGCGCGCTCTCAAAACCGACGAGGGCCTTGCACATGTCGTCGTCGCTCTCGCACAGCTGGACGACCACCCCCAAGACGAAGCAGCACATGAGCAACAAATTGGCGGTGCCAGCGAGGTAGAGGTCGTCGGCGCGCTTGAAGGGCCGGGCGAGGGCGAGGGCGGCGAGGTAGAGGCCCGAGACAACAGAGGCGACGAGGAGGCGGAGGAGCTTGCTCGAGCCGTCATTAGTTTGGATGAAGAGCACCAGCGAGGCGAGGAAGAGCTTGCGGCCCAGGTCGATGACCTCCCAGAAGAGAAGGGCCGGGTCGTAGTCGCGCCAGAGGAAGCGGCTGGCCCGGGCGAGAGGGCTGATTCGCTGCGCCCGCACGGCTCTGCGGATCCAGAGCAGCAGCACGAGGAAGGCTAGCGGGACGAGCACCGGCCAGAGGGCGAAGAAGGCCCAGAAGTACGCGTCGAGGCCGCGGTACTCCTCGTCGTCGGCGCTGCAGAGCACGTCGAGGTCGGCCACGAGGTAGCTGCGCCTCTCCCCAGTGAAGTCGTTGATGTCGTACGACTCGCACTGCTTCGCCCTGAAGATGGAGCGAGACACGGAGGGGAGCGCAAGGTAGGCGACGAGGATGGCCCAGTAGAGGAGGCGGCGCAGCGTAGCACGGACGAGGTCGCGCCGGAGGCCGTCGGCGCGACCAGACCGATGCCACTCTACGAACGCGTAGCAGGCGAGGGCGGCACCTCCGAGAATCATGGCCGCAAGTGGCCACAAGCCTGCGAGCAAGAGCCGGTCTCCCATCGAGCCGATGCACGCGCCCGGGTAGGTGAGGCCGATTAGGTCTAGGCTGATCGCGTCCATGAAGTCTGTCCAGCGCGTAAAGTCCTCGTGGAGGCGGACACCGTAGACGGGGCCGAGCGTACCAGCCACCTGGTAGAAGCTGACGACGATCTTGAACTTGGGCTGGAAGCCCACCTAGGGATGGCGTGCACGACTGAGCAGTGTGTGTGTGTGTGTGTGTGTGTGTGTGTGTGCCTGTGTGTGTGTGTGTGTGTGTGTGTGTGTGTGTGTGTGTGTGTGTGTGTGTGTGTGTGTGTGTGTGTGTGTGTGTGTGTGTGTGTGTGTGTGTGTGTGTGTGTGTGTGTGTGTGTGTGTGTGTGTGTGTGTGTGTGTGTGTGTGAGTGTGTGTGTGTGAGTGTGTGTGTGTGTGTGTGTGTGTGTGTGTGTGTGTGTATGTGTATGTGTGTGTTGTGGGGGGGGGGGGGGCTACGCGAACTTGCGACTCGATGCGGGCGAGCCGCCGCTTATTGCGACCAAAGCGACCGCACGCCTCGATGCGGGCGAGCACGCAGTACAAGAGGAGCGCCATTCCTGCGACAGCGACGACCACCGCGGCCATGATCCCGAACAGCCACGTTGTCGGGCAGTCAGCGCAGCCTCGCTCCGCGCGGCTGAAGTACTGCTCGTCACTCACGCACCACTCGCAAAGCGGGCCGGTGTGGCCGAGCTCGCAGCCCGGGCCGGCGCCGCCAGACGCCGCGAGGCGGCGGGAGGTCTGCGTCGCGCCGCCCGAGCCGCTGCAATGGTCGGAGGCGTCGCACTCGTGAATTTCGGTGGTGAGGAGCGAGGCGCGCCAGTGGTTGCGCGGGATACCGAGGGTCTCGAGGGTGGTGTTGACCGGGCAGACGGTGTTAGGCGGGCAGCGTTTGCAGTGCTCAGTCGGGGAGGCAAATATGTCGGCGCTCGAGTCGAGCAGGTAGAAGCCCTCCTTGCAGACGGAGCAGGTGGTGTCGCCGCTACCGCTGCTTGCAGGGTGAGGGCAGGGGATACACTGCGAGAGGCCCTCGCTGGCAGCATAGGTGCCCGGCTCGCAATTGCGGCAGCTCGTTCCGCCCGTGTCGTTCTGGTAGGTCCCGACGCCGCAGCTGGCGCACTCGGAGAGGCCCGCCGCGACGGCGACGGTGCCTGGCCGGCACGGCGCGCACGTCTTTTTGCTCTCCGCGCCCCGCGTCGCGCTCGCGGTGCCGGCGGGGCAGAGCTCGCACGCGGCACTCGAGTTGGAGCCGTTGGCCGGGTTGAAGCTGCCGGCGGGGCAGGGCTCCCAGACCATGCGGGTAGCGGCGCCCGCCTCCTCGCAGTAGCCGCCGCGCGGGCAGGGGTCGCAGGCGGCGAGGCCGACGTCGGGAGAGAAGGAGCCCGCTGCGCAAGGAAGGCACTCCTCCTCTCCCGCGAGGGGCTGGTGCTGGCCTGGAGCGCACGGGATGCAGCTCTCGTTGCTCGCCGCGCCGAGGGCGGGCATGCGAGTGCCCATCGGGCAGGGCTCAGGGTCGGCGGTCCCCGCCTCGCAAAAGTGGCCCCTAGTGCACTGGCCGCTGCAGGTGGCGTCGGTGAGGCCGCTCGTGTTCCCGTAGTAGCCAGCGGGGCAAAGGTAGCACTCTGGGGCGCTGAAGTCGCCCTCAAAGGCGCCCCTGCGCGGCATCCAGCTGCCCAAGCGGCAGTCCCAGTCTATCAGGGACTGGTCGAGAGTCTGTATCGTGACACCGTCGTTGCCGGTGAAGAAGGCGTCGCTGATCGAGGAACGATCGAGGCGTTCCAGGTACAACACCGAGGCTGACGAGGCCGAGTTGTCGATGAAGGCGACACCCATGACGGAGAGGTACGTCCCCTCGAGCCCATAAAAGCGGTCGTTTGACGCGTAGACGACGCCGCCGTGCTGCGGTTGCAAGGAGAGAGCGGGATGAGGCACCCCCCCCCCCCCTTCCTTCCGCTGCCGTGCGGCGTTGCAGGGCGGCGGCTAGTTCTACGCGCGGCGCACCCCTTCGAGTTCCTCATTGCCAGCCGAGCAGCCCGTCATGGTGGAATCGATTAGCGAGACCACACCGCTGCCCTCCGTGTAGACGACGCCGCCGTGCTGCGGTTGCGAGGAGAGGGCGCGGTGAGGCGGCCGCGGCCCTCTCTCCTTCTCATCCAACTGCCGCGCGACGCTGCAAATACGTGGAGCGCACACCTTGCTAGCCGAGCAGCCTATCACGGTCGAGCCAGCGAGCGAGACCGCACCGCTGACCTCCGCGTAAACGACGCCCCCGGACTGCGATCGCGGGGGGAGAGCGGGATGAGGCAGCCGTGGGCCTCACTATCTCTCGCCCGTCTGCCGTGCGGCGCTGCAAGGAAGCTGCTAGCTCTACGATGCGCGCACAGAGGAAGCCGAGCAGTTCGCCACGGTCGAGTTGATTATCGACACCGCACCGCTGCCCTCCGCGTAGACGACGCCGCCGTGCTGCGGTTGCGAGGCGAGAGCGGAGTGTGAGGCAGCTGCGGCCCTCTCTCTCTCTCGCCCCGCTGCCGTGCGGCGCTGCTGGAGGCGGCTAGCTCTACGCGGCGCACCAGTTCAGCAGAGCAGTCCCTCACGGTAGCGTCGATGATCTCGACGTCGCCTGCGTTACTCGCATACACAACGCCGCCGCTGCTGTTGCCCCTCCCGTTGACGAGGGTCAGCCCCCGCAGGGTGAGGCTGCAGCGGACCCCATCCTTTCCATCGAGGTAGAACAGCCCGGTCAGTCCCTGCCCGTCGAGCGTCGCGCCCTCGCCGCTGCTGGCGACGGTCACTTTGATGCTGGAGTTGCACCTGATCTGGCTGCTCAGCTTGAAGTGAGCAGCCGGCGCCAGGTAGACCGAGACGTCGGCAGCAGCCTTCTCAATAAGGATGCGGAGCTCGTCCTCGCTCGCCGCGGAGACATCAAAGCCGGGGGCGAGCGGCGGCGTCTGTGGCGGCAGCGGCGGTGAGGGAGGCAGCGGTGGAGACGAGGGGGGTGCTGGAGCCGACGGTGGCGATGGCGGAGGTGCGACGTCGGCAGCAGCCTTCTCAATAAGGATGCGGAGCTCGTCCTCGCTCGCCGCGGAGACATCAAAGCCGGGGGCGAGCGGCGGCGTCTGTGGCGGCAGCGGCGGTGAGGGTGGCAGCGGTGGAGACGAGGGGGGTGCTGGAGCCGACGGTGGCGATGGCGGAGGTGCAGGGGCGCACGTGCCGCACGTGACTTTCACACGCTCCCCGCCTGGATTCTTCTCTTCGCAAGAGCCGCTGACGCCACCGACGCAGGCGAGGGAAGCGCAGGAGTCAAAGTCACCGACCAGGTAAACGCCACCGTCGGGACAGGTGCAGGTGCCGCCCCAAGCACCGACATTCAATGCATTCTGCTGGACCTGATTTGAGGTGCATGGCGGCGGTGAAGGCGGCCGAATCGGCCAGCAGATCTGAGCGGCAGAGGGAGGAGGGGGCATTAGAGACGGGCAGCAGGGGAGGGGAGAGGGCTGGGCAGCAGGAGAGAGCGCCTTCCAGCCCGACTTGACTGTGTCGCCATCCGAGACCCACTCGACGATGCCGTCCTCCGCCACCATGCCCTTTGGCCCCGAGGTGCCGCAGTACTTTATGCCGTTGACGGTGAGATAGTCCTTGGCGCCAAGGATGTCTGCCAGCAGACCAACGCAACGGTCCTCCCAACGGTCCTCCACCTCAAAGGCGACGGTCTCCAGCTCGACCGGCGGCACACCGCTGATGGTGCACTCCTCGTTGATGCCGTAGCTGTTCGGGTAGTTTGGCGACGCGGCGCACGAGCCGCCGTCGGTGAGTGAGCACGGGCTGGTGACTTGGACTGCCTGCGCACTCGCGCCTGGGAGCTCTGCCGCAGTGAGTAGCAGCAGTGCAGTCAGCGCGTCGCGTCTCGATCGAACAACGTAGCTGCAGCAAGCAGAGCGCGGCGAGGCCGCTTTCCGGCCGTTCGCCCGCCACTCGCTGCCGGCGTGCACGCAAGAGACAGGTGCGTCGCCGACGAGGACGGTCGTGCTCGAGTTGCTCGAGTTGCTCTGGCGTGAGCTGCTCCGGCGCGCGAGGACGGCGGCGAGAGCTGTCGGCGCCATCGATGGCAAATGCAGCGGTGCCGCGCCGTTTCTTTTCGCGGCAGCGATCGTGCGCGCCCGCGGCGAGAGCGGCGTGACTTTCGCGCGCTCCAGGGCGGCGTACGAGGCGGCCGAGGTTGTGCGGAAGGCGCTAGCCTGCGAGCGGGCGGCGGAGACCTTCCGCGCCGGTAGGCGGATCTACTGCAGCCGCGCCGCTTTCGCACAGGCCGAGCGCGACCGCGAGGCGCGGCGCCCATCCTCGCCGCGGCCCCCGCCTCCTCCCTCCTGCGCTGATGGGCTGGCGTCTGAGCCCGCCTGCGACTGGTGGGGGCGGGTTGCGAAGGAGGCGGGCGCGCGCCTCGAGGCCCTTGCGGCGCGCGTGCTCTCTCCCATCCGCCGGGCGATGGCGGCGCGGGCGCTGCAGCGGGCCGCCCGAGCGCGCCTCACCGCCCGGGAGAGGGCGGCGCGGGCGCTGCAGCGGGCCGCCCGAGCGCGCCTCACCGCCTGGGAGAGGGCGGCGCGGGCGCTGCAGCGGGCCGCCCGAGCGCGCCTCACCGTAAGGGCTCCGGCGCTCGCCCGCAGCCTTTCGGGGTTTGCACGCCGCTTTGCCAGGCGGGCGGCGGAGAGGGGCGCCGCTTGCGCCCTCGATCGCGCTGTCGACGCTTTCTTTCGGCGCACAGGAGGGCGCGCCCCCGCTCTCGCCGCCCTCCGTCAGGCGATTGCAGACGGCGCGGCGGTGGCGGTAGCGACGCCTGCTCCCGAAGGCAACAAGGTCGGAAGACGCCAGAACCACAAATGCTGGCGAGAGGCGATCCGTTTTGTCGCCGTCAGCCAACCAGGGGCCGGCGCCTTCCTCAACGCCATCCCCATGCGTGATGACATGAAGATGGAGTCCTGGGCGATGCGCGTCACCGTCCAGCGCCGCCTTGGGCTCCCCTAGGAGGTAGCAAAGGCAAGGCCCCACACGCTCCGGAGCGCGAGAAAGGCGTAACGCGTGCCTGCACACTCAGACAGTCCCCATAGACCTCGTTCCTCGGGCATCTGGTGAGCAAACGCGGCGGTGCAGTAGAGGTACTCGAGGCCAAGGACAAGGCCGACCATTCGGACGCCCACCTTATCGAGCGGCCGGCATGAGAGGAGGAGCATTGCCTGATACACGACAGTGAGGATGCCGAAAGCTACCTCCCTGCTGCGGTCGATTGTCGTGCCAAGGGCAGCCGCGAGTATGCCCAGGAAGACGTCTAATGTGCCGCGAGGATGAAGCTCAACCTCGAGGATGAAGGAGGCGTTGGCGTACACGCCAATGATCCACGCGACACTGAGCGCCGTCAGCGTTGTGAGTAGCCTCACCTTGTTTGCAGCTGCATGCGCGGCGCACAGCTTGTTCCGGAGTGCCGAGGCCGCCACCGAGTCGACCGCAAATCCACGGCAACGACTTGAGAGAACAGACACTGAGATAGCAACTGCTGGCGGCGCGAAGGCGATCAGCGACACGACCAACCAGAGTGCGACAAAGTTCGACCAAGGCACCGAGTCGACCGTCGTGAGGTTTGACCAAGGCACCGAGTCGACCGTCGTGAGGTTTGACCAAGGCACCGGGTGGGCTGCTGTCCTCTCGGCCATTTTGCAATCGATCGAGGCGGAGGACGAAAGCTTGTCCAAAAAACGCGCGCTTCGGCGACGATGTTTTTCTTTTTTCTTCGATCGCGAGGGTCCATCAGAGACCGCGGGAGGGTCGATGGGAGTGCCAAGCCCCACAATACCTAAAAACCCAGCCCATGCACGGCTTTTGACCCAAAAAAGCAAAACATTTACTCGAGTACGAACATCATCATCAACCTAGTCGAACGACAGGCGGCACGCGAAGACTGGTTGCAATCCCGCCGACCGCCAGGCCGCGGGATGATGTGTGCGTGGTCATGTAGTGGGTCTCGGAAGCTCCCCTCTCGGGCTAGGAGCCAGCCCCTCTCCCTTGCCCTCGGAACAGTGTGTCCGAGTCGAGGCGTGTGCTTGCCGGTCGACGGCCGCGCGCGGTTGGCATTGTGACGAAGGTGCGGCCGCGGCGCGCCCGCCATGGTTCGGCGCGGCGCGCGATTTCGTGTGCCAGTCCCCCTACACGACCGGGAGCCCGAACCCGGAGCCAATTCCAGTGGATCCAGCTCTCGCCTCTGTCGCTCTCTTCGCCATGCTCAGCTTCTCCGCCGGTGTCTCGACGACCTTCGCTGGCGCTTCGCTCCGCACCGCGCCTCTCTCGCGCACCCTTCCTGCAAAGATGGAGCTCTCGTGGACCGAGTACGATGGGGCCAAGTGGGATCCGCTCAAGCTCGCAAAGACGCCCGAGAAGTGCGCGAGTTCTCACCAATTCGCCGCCGCCGCCGCCGCGCATTTCGCCGCCGCCGCCGCACGCACAGCAAAGTTCCGCCACGCGGTCGACGTTCGCCCGCCGGCTCAGCAGGTTCCCGACGCCGCCACCGCCGCCCCGTCCCCGCCGCAGGTTTGAGAAGCTGAGGTACGTGGAGCTCAAGCACGGCCGCATCGCGATGCTCGCCTTCCTCGGCCACGCTGCCGCCGCCGGCGCCCACCTCCCGGGCAAGCTCGCCGGCGACCTCGCATTCGCCGACATGCCCAAGACGGGCTTCGCGGCGCTGGCGGCGACGCCGCCGCTCGGGCTGCTGCAGATGTTCCTCTTCGTGGGCTTCCTGGAGCTCAAGGTGTGCAAGGACGTGACCGGCACGGGCGAGTTTCCGGGCGACTTCCGCAACGGCGTGGACAACGGCGCCAACCCTCGCCCGCATGCGGTCGTTCAGACTTTAGTCGCTGCTGATAGCCGTTTTTCCTCTACAGGCGCCTGGGACTCCTTCACCCCGCAGCAGAAGCTCGAGAAGCGGTCGAAGGAGTTGAACAACGGCCGTGCCGCTATGATGGGCATCCTCGGGCTCATGGTGCACGAGAACTTGGCCGGCCCCGCGTATGTGGCCAACGAGTACTGTGGCCTGCCCGCCCCCTTCTGAAGGCTGGAGCCCCGTCCCGCTCGGGGGGGGGGGCAGAGGCCGGACTCTGTGAGCTTCCGGACGATGGACGCCTTCTTCAGTCTTTTACCCTGTGCCCGGCGCCTGTGGGGTTAGAAGATTGCTGACGGCGCGCCCCCCCTTTTTCCCTCGCTCTGCGCGTGTTCTCTTTTAGGCCACCTCCGTCACCGATCACCGTGTAACCTGTAACGACTAACGAGAGGTGCCGGTGCTGTGTGTTGTGACTTGTGTGGTCCTGACAATACACGACCTACACATGAATCTACTAGTCGACTACCTTTCCCGAGACTCTACACTGGACGACGCGACGAGGGTCGAGGCGAGACCGAGACCGGCCGCCGAGATCGAGCCCGCCCCGGCCCCGCCGCGAAACCTTCCCCAAACATCAAAACTCTAAAAACTGTGACACATGGCACTTGTTCGGTTGTTGTTCGCGGGCCCAACAAGAGAGAGCCGTACGCGCGGCGTCCGGCGGTCAGGCGAGTCCTGAGCTCCAGTGCGCGAGAACCCATACAACGTGTCGCTGTTGGCTCTGCAACGGGCACGCCGCGTGAAATTTGCCCCCATGCCGCATGCGCTGAGCCCTGGCCCTGGACAGTCTGACACGTGTGACAGTCTCGAGCGCGTGCGACACACAATGACAACGACAGTTCAGCAGTCCAGGCCAGCGGAGCTCCTCAGTAGCTGTCAAGAGTGCTGTCAGAGAGCTGCCCCCGACAGCCCGACATGCATCTGTACCTCACGCGCTCACCGCACCTCCGCGTCTCTCCCGCGACCTGACTACTCTACCCCGCGGCCTGACCGTGACTCCTCGGCTCGTGCGGCCGCCCTTCTCTCCGCCGGAGGTTGGCCTCGCGCCGCTCGTCGTGCTTGTGCGCCTGCAGCGCGCCATTGTTCGCCACGACGGCGGCGATGAACGCGTGCGTCGTCGCCTCCGGCTCGCCAACCTCCTGCAGCAGCAGCGCCGCCGCCTCGACCGTGCAGACGCGCAGCGCCTGTTCACAGCTCCTCGATTCACAGCTCTTCTATTCACAGCCCCTCAAAAGGTGCAGACCCACAGCGCCTCTGCGTCGCCCGTCGCCCCGGCGGCGACGGTCGCGGCCGAGGCGGAGGCGTACCTGCGGCGGAGGGACGAGTTGTCCAGCCTTCAAGTACTCACCGCAGGAGTCACGGGCGGATGCGTCCCTGTGCAAGGTTTCGCGCTGCTGCTGCCGCTACGTGGCGGGCGTTGAGCGGCGCTGACGCTGTCTCACCACGAAGAAGGCCGCGGGGCCGAGGGGCGGGCGGGAGGTAGGAGGGCGGACGCGCCTTTTGGCGGCGCGCTGGTAGACGGAGAGGCTGGTCGGGTGCAGCGCGACGTGGGGAGGGACGTGGGCCGGAGGAAGGCGCCTACACAAGCTTCTTCGCGCGCGGCTCCGGGAGGGCGACGGGAGGAGGTTGCGTGGCCTGCCCCTTGGTGGCGCCGGCGCAGCGCCCGGAACATGGAGCGCGCGTGGTTGTAGACGCCGTCCAGCACGACGACTCGCATCAGAGGCCGCGACGCCTCCGCCTCCCCCTCCGCCTCCCCTCTGCCGCCCGCGGCGACCCGCCGCCACGGAGAAGACTGCGGCAGGCGCCTCTCGACAAACTCGCCCACGGTGAGCGCGCCCTCGCCCGGCCAGAGGAGCATCGTGTGCTGTGGGTCGGCGGCGAGCTCGGCCGCCAGTGCGTCCCAGTCGGCGCGGCGGCCGTACACAAACACCCGCGCCTGCTCGGGCGGCAGCATCGCCGTCAGCAGCTTTGCGTCGTCGCCGGCGCTCAGGAACTCTTTGTGGTGCATGAGAATGCAAACGCGAGCGTTGACCGCGAGGCGGAGCGGTGCAAGCTGCGAGCAGATGCACTTGGTTGCCGCATCGTGCCAGCACCTCCTGCACCGGTTGCTCCGCTCCTCCTCCTTTCGCGCGAGAGCCTCGGTCGCCAGCCTCTCAAAGAGATCGTCCTGGTCACAGCCGCCGGCGCGAAGCTCCTCGGCGCGCGCCGCCGCGTGGGCGAAGCGCTTGTGCGTAGCGCCGGCGCCGCGCATGGACGAGAGAATTTCACGGGACCGGCTCTCACACTGGACGAGAAAGTCGACCCAACCCAACCTGGTCCCGAATCCCCAGCTTCGCGGAAAATCGGTGCAACATGCGTGCGGAATTTTCGGGTTTCACAGCAGCCTCCGCTACCGACCCAGGCACTGTCCCGAATCCAGCGCGGCAAATTGTGGCGGCAAAAATGGCGTCCGCCGCCCGCAAGCGCGCCCGCACCGGGGGCGCCGGCGGTGAGGCGGACGAGGAGCCCGTGCCGGTCGCGGATGGCTTCGAGGCGCCCATCTTTGGAGCGCGCGTCGTCGGCCAGGTCACCACGCTGCCGCTCGAGGGGGAAGACGGGCCTTTGGCATCGCTGGGTGTCGCGAGTGACCACGCGGGCGCCTGGTTCGTCGCGACCGAGGACTCGCTGCTGCACGTCTTGGCGGCCGGGCGCGTGCGCCGCGTGGCAGCCTTGCCGGCAAGTGAGGATGACTACACCGTTGCCGCCAGCCCGGACGCGAGCGCGCTGTTTGTGGTGGACAACGGCAACAACAAGATCCGGCGGGTCGAGGTGGCGACGGGAGAGGTGACGACGCTCGCGGGCAGTGGCGAGGATGGCGACGCGGATGGCGTGGGCGACGCGGCGGAGTTTGCCAGCCCCTACGGAGTCGCTATCAGCCCGGACGGGAGCGCGCTGTTCGTGACGGACTTCGGCAACGACAAGATCCGGCGGGTTGCGGTGGCGACTAGCGAGGTGACGACGATCGCGGGCAGTGGCACCAGGGGCAGCACTGATGGCGCGGGCAACGCAGCGCAGTTTTCCAACCCAACTGGCATCGCTGTCAGCCCAGACGGCGGCGTGCTGTTTGTGGCGGACCACGAGAACCACAAGATCCGGCGGGTTGAGGTGGCGACGGGAGAGGTGACGACGCTCGCGGGCAGTGGCACCAGTGGCAGCACTGACGGCGTGGGCGACGCGGCGCAGTTCTGCAACCCAGCTGGCGTCGCCATCAGCCCCGACGGCAGCGCGCTGTTTGTGGCGGACTTCCACAGCCACAAGATCCGGCGGGTGGAGGTGGCGACGGGAGAGGTGACGACGGTCGCGAGCAGCGGCAGGGACAGCGTCGATGGCGTGGGCGACGCCCAGGAGTTTTACCACCCAATTGGCCTTGCCATCAGCCCAGACGGGAGCACGCTGTTGGTCAGTTCGACCGGTGGCCTCCATCACGTCTGCGTGGCGGCGCCTCCTCCGCCTCCCTCCTTTGCCCCGATCGTCGTTCCGCCCTCCACCTTCTCCGCCGACATGGCGAAGACGTGGGGCGACGCCTCCCTCCCGCAGGGCATGGTCACCTTCCTTGTCGGCGACGACGAGGAGCGCATCGAGCACGTGAGCAAGTGCAACCTCTGCGCCCGGTCCCCAGTCTTTCGGACCATGTTCGGCATCGGCATGAAGGAGCGCGACGCCGCCGAGGTCACAGTGCGCAACACCGACCTCGCCAGCTTCACCGCCCTCGTCCGCTACCTCCTCACCGACCAGTTCGACCTCGGCGAGGAGGAGGGCGGCAGGGCGCAGCGCGCGCTCGACCTGCGGGAGCTGGCGCAGATGTACCAGGTGCCGCGCCTCGAGCTGCTCTGCGCGCAGGCGCTGCAGGAGAGCGTCGGGCCGGCGACCGCCGTGCCGCTGCTCGAGGCGGCGCACACGATGGGCGACGGGCGGCTCCTCGCGCAGTGCCGCCGCTACGTGGCCGACCACGCCGCCGAGGTGCGGGCGAGCGGCGGCGTGGAGCAGCTGCGCGACTTTGGCGTGGCCAAGGGTCTGCTCGGCGACGCGCTCGACCAGGTGGCGGAGCTGAAGGGGACGGTGGCGGCGCGCGACGTGGAGCTCGAGAAGGTCCGGGCATGAGTGAGGGGCAGCGCCCCGCGCCTTGCGATCGCTCGCCGCTTGGCACCAGTGAGAGCAGTGTGTGACAGAGCAGCGCAGCGCGCCGTGAACAGGGAGGGCGCTTTCTTTCTTTCTTTCTGGCTCTGTGAGAGTCGATATAAAAAGAAAGAAATTCAAACAAAAGAACTCCCTCTCACAGCACACAGGACACACAGCACTCAGCAGACACGAGACAGGCTCGACACAGGTGCGAACTGGCGCGTGCTAGTACTATCACAGGCACACCACCGGAGCCGCCTAAGCGACTCCGTTAAGAACGGCAATGCACTTAGCACCGTGCACAATGCCGCTGTCCCCGCACGCTAGCTCGTTCACCGTCTTCCACGCCACGGCGGTGTGGAGAACGACAGACAAGCGCTGCATCTGCAGCCCGTGCCAGTTCTTGGTGGTCCATGTGACCTCGTCCAGGTGCTGAGCGTGCGAAAGTTTGTAACTCAGCTTGGCCGCCGCTTACAAAAAACTCCGTCAAAAGAAAGAATTCTTAAAATACAACCACTCTCACAGCACACTGGCACGACAAGGGCGCGGACTGGCGCGGACTGGCACACACAGTAGGTAGGGTAGAAAGGTGAAGAACAGCCAGGCTCGGACTGGACACCAACGCGGCAACAAAAACTCCCCCAACGCGGTATGGGTGGATTCTGGACGATTTCGACACACCCTGCTCACAAAAGAAAGACAGACCGGACTCGGCGACACATGGTGCGGTACGACGTCACGCTCTGCGCCGCGGAGAGGGAGCAAACAATCGCGGTCGCACTGAGGAGACGGCGACCGTGAAAACGTCTTGCGAAGTGCAACGCGCACAAGAAGGCGAAGGAGCTCGGCGCCACGTTTGACGACCTGGCCGTTGGCTCAAGCTCGAGCCGTCGGTGGGCGAGAAGGCGCAGGTGCACTGGTTGTAGACCGCGGCCTTGAGCCTCTCGTACATCGGGGTAAGCTGCACGCCGCCGGCCTCGATGGCGCGGTGCTCGACCCGCCCGACCTACTCACGGACCTTGGCCTCGACGTCGAGCGCTTGTACGCGCTTCCCGCCGGCGACGCCGCCGCCGTCGAGACCGCACCGGCAGATGCGAGCGTGCTGGCAGAGGCAGAGGCGGAGGCGGAGGCGAGCGCGAAGGCGGCGGCGGCAGGCGCGCAGGGCGAGATCCCGGCGACCTCGGTCGAGATCTGCGTCAAGACGCTCGCCTCGAGTGTCGATGAGCCGGTGGTCGTCGGCCGCTACAACGTGGAGACGACGCCCTTGGCCGCGGTGAGGCGCGACGTCGGCGCCCACCTCGGCATCCCACTGCTGGAGGTCGAGCCTGCGGCGGCGGTGGCATCCGGCGACTTGCGTGCCGCTGAGTCGCTCGTCGAGCCAGGCAAAGTGCAGGTCAGGTTTGCGGACGGGCGCGTGCAGGCCCTGTACGTGCAGAGCGACGAGACGGTCGAGACGATGCGGCCGAGGATCTCTGCCATCATGGGCGTCGAGCGCTGCGTCAGTACGACGTGACGCTACTGTCGGGGTGGGGCAACGATTCGGCGGAGCTCGACTCTGGTGATGTCATCAGCGCGGGGATGGAGCTCTGCGCCGTGCTCGCCGAGCCGGAGGAGGCGTCGGCGCCGGTGCAGATCTTCGTCAAGACGCTGCAGGGACAGACGATCACCCTCGACGTGAGCCTCGACGCCAGCGTCGCCGCCGTCTACCAGGCGTTGCAGGACAAGCAGTGCCTCCCGGCGTGCCAGCTGCGCCTCATCTTTTCCAGCAAGGAGATGAATCCGGCAAGGCTCACTCTGTCCCTCCCTCCCTCCCACGACACGCCCACGACACGCCCACGACACGCCCACGACGTGTCCCGCCTCAGGACGCTTCGGTGGTACGGCGTGACGAGGGAGTCGACGCTGCATGTGCTGCTACGCCTCGGCGCAAACCCTCCGTGGGGCGGCCTCGCACTCGGCGCGCTTGTGCGCCCGCCGAGGTCGGACGCTGAGCGGGTCAAGCTGCGGCTGATCAGGTCGGCGGCGGACGGCTGTGTTGGCGATCGGCTGGCGGCTGGCCGCGTCGAGGTCCTGGACGAGGCGCCAGAGCTGCTGCGCGACGCGCCGGTCGAGGCGCTCAGGTCGCTCGTCGGGGCCCTCTTCGGCACCCGCACCTCGAGGCTGATCCTCCGCGTTGCGACGCTGCATGATGACTCGGAGGCGGACCTCGGTGCCGTCTTTCAAGACGGCCGCGCGCTGTGGGAGTTTGGGCTGCAGGAATCTGCGGTCGTCTACATGGAGAAGGCCACCTTTAGCGAGGGCGAGGACGCGGACGGCGGCGAGGGCGGCGGCGGAGGCGGCGGCGGCGACGACATTGACGATTCGGCGCCGCGTTCTGCGCCGCCGAAGCTGGTGAAGCTCGACCTCAGCCTCGCTTCGCGCCCTCTGCGGTCGTCGGTCGACACCGAGCGCCGCAGCCTCGCCGAGTGGGGTTTCGTTGGCGGCCAGCGCAGCGTGCTGTACGCGCAGACGCGCATGGCGAGGGCGAACGAGGACGCATCGCATCGCATCGGCACCCAGCAGGTCTTTTGCGTGTGCGGCGCGTGGCAGCCGCCGGTGGCGCAGAGCGAGCGCGGCCTCTCGTGCTTCCTCTCCTCGCTGATGGTGGCGGTCGATCACATGCACGCAAAGCCCGCCACCGCCGAGTACGCGATCGGCTTCCTGCGCGCGCTCGTCGTTGACTTCCCTCCTGCCCCGCACGCGCTCAAGCTGCTCGTGCAACGGTCGGACGTGAGCGCCGCCGACAAGCACGCTCTCGCAAGCGCCGTGTACGCGCTCGGGCGCGCGCTGCTGCCGGCGACGGTCGGCGACGGCGTTGTGTTCGAGTCGTCGCGTGTCGTCCTCCACTTCCTGCTCTCGCGTTTCGTCGTGGCCGACAACGAGACCGAGGCTGGCGATGCGTGGCAGCGCACGCCGCTCATGTGCAGCCTGACGAGCGAGCGACTCACCGACCCGGTGCGCCTCGCGGCGGCGAGCTCCTCGGCCGACGGCGCCGTCTTCGAGCGCAGCGCGGTACTCTCTCGCATCAAGATGGGCCTCGGCCGCTTCGCCGACGTGACGCCCGAGCAGCTCGTCACATGCCGCCGCACGGCTGCGCTGCTGCTCAGCCACCCGCGCGGTTTGGCAGCGCTCACGTGGACCGACGGCGGCAAGCCGCGCCGCAACCCGTCGCTCTTTGAGTGGGACTGGGGGAGGCTCGCGTCGACGGCCGCCGACGCGAGCTTCCTCAACCTGTGCGGCGAGCGCCCCGGCAGCGTGCTCCGACTGGTGCCGACTCTCGAGCTGGCGCGCGCGAGCACGCCGTGCTTGACGCGGCAGGCGCAGGGCCTTGTCTCCGTGCTCGTCGGCCGCGGTAAGGACGTGGCGCGATCGGCCCCAAGAGCTGCGCGCGGTCTGCGTGCGCGACGTCCGCCGCCTGACAGTGCTTGCGCGCTTGAGCGAGCTGTGGGAGCGAGCCATGGTATCACTCGTTGGGCCTGCGTAGCCACAAGTGATGCGGTTGACCTGGTGAGGCACCCGGGTGCTCGACGAGCCGTGCATCGCGATCTCGTCGGAGCCGTCCAAGTTGGATGTGGTCCCATCTGCTGTAAAAAAGGGTTTATAAGTCAGGAGATGATCCTAGCTAGTCGCTTCTTGCTCCCCTGAATCTCCAATGGTGCTTCTTCGGGCCCACAGTCAGCTGTGAACAGCGAACTTGTTCACAGGTGTTCTAATTTTGGTTGATTTTGAGCGTAAAAAATGCGTTTCCGGTCAGTTGACAGCGCGCTGCGAGTCTTGCAGCCGTGAGCTGCTCTCTCCGCGCAGTTTTTGTCGACTTCTGATCATCGCGTCATGCCGGCCGCTGAGCTGAGGGCTGACAGGAACGATGCGGCCAGAGCAAGTGAAGAATCGCCAGCTGTTCCTGACGTGGAATTTGGACAGAGCCAAGAGATCACCGTCACATTGCGAGGGATTGTCGAGAAGTACTCAGCTGCACAGCTGCTCAATGAGCTGCTGCAGAATGCAGACGACGCAGGGTCGACCACATTCAAGGCTCTGCTAGATATGAGGACGGACGCTCATACCTCGCGAACGACCAAGCTATTCTCAGAGTCCTTGGCCGTGGCGCAGGGCCCGGCTTTATACCAGTTCAACGATGCTGTCTTCCGAGAGCAAGACTTCTTGTCCATCTCGAAGCCTGCTGACGGAGTAAAGGCTGGCGATCCGACTCGGACCGGGCAGTTTGGAGTTGGCTTCAACTCAGTGTACCACATCACTGACCTGCCATCTTTTGTATCCGGAGACTTCTTTGTTCTGTTCGATCCCCACCAGAGGCATCTGCCGGGGAAGCCACGTGGCTGGCGGCAGCCCATTGATGATGCGTTTGGCGAGCGGTACGCCGATCAGCTGGCACCATTCCTTGAATGTTTCGACCATCTTGCGGACAATGGTGCAGGCGCAAACCGAGGTACGCTCTTCCGACTGCCGTTGCGCACGCGCGCCGAAGCCTCGGAGTCAAAGATTAGGGGTGGTGAGGCTGGTGTTGTGTTGCCTGATGACGTGAGGACTCGGATCATCGAGCCCTTCGCGACGCGACTGGAGCAGCGCTTGCTCTTCCTGCGTTCGGTCAGCAATATCGAGATTTGGATCTGGGAGGAGGGCGCCGACCGTCCAACCAGGACAACCCACGCGACCATTGCCGCCACAGAGGCACAAGAGAGTGCCGCTGTGCTGCCGCGGAGCGTGATTGTTGACCTCATCCAGAAGCGCATGCACGAGGCTGTTGCTGTACCCGACGAGTATCAAACGACTGACAGCGCGCGCAAGTACTTGGCCGCTGTGCGGCCACCGTTTGACCCGGCATTAGACGTTGAGCGGCCGCTCTTCTGTGCTGTGCTACGATCATGCTCCGCAGAGGAGACGCGAGAGGAGGAGTGGATGGTCTCCCACAACTTTGGCGATGCAGATGACCTCGCCTTCGCCGCGGCTGACTCGCAGCGCAAGATGTTTCGCAAGACCCTCATGCCGCTTGCTGCTGCAGCGGCGCGGCTCAGCCAGCGGAAGCTGCTATCGGGTGGTGTGTGGTCGGCATGGAGCTCAGCACCGCTACGTGCGGACGAGGGGTGCTTATTCGCTGCGCTGCCGCTGCCAATTTATTCGGGTGTCCCAGTCCATCTCAGCGGCCGATGGGAGGTCGGTGAGGACCGCAACTCTCTCTCGGTTGAGCCGAAAGAAAAGCTTCTGTGGAACAACCGACTCGCTCGGCGCGTCGCTGGTGTGGCGTATGCGCGCTTACTTCGAGCACTGGCCGCCGGCTGCAGGCTGCGCTCGCTCGAACAGCTCAATGACTCGGAGGCGGACGTGTTCCGTCGCGCCACCCTGAATCTGCTTTTCCCACCATCAGTTCAGATGGCAGGGGACACTGCTATCTTTAGCAGCATCTGCACCGGCACGTATGAGATGCTTGCGCGCGGCAATGACGAGCGTTGGGCTGGCTGCGCAAAGCGTCAGTGGGCGGGCGAGAATCTCGCCGAGATGACGGGGAATGTGGTGCACGTGCTTGCTGACGAGAGTGGTGGATGGCATGGCTGGGGCGAGGTACTCTTCATTAGTGACCACCTGTCGAGCGAGAATGCTGGCGGCGCTCCGCAGACGGGCAATATGGTGATCGGCGCGCTCGCGGAGGCGGGGATCCCACTGACGCGTGCGCCACAGTGCGCACATGACGGCCTAAAGCGTTGCTGCAACTCTCACGACATGATGCTGACGCCGGCGACGGCACGGCAGCGACTGCGGCACTCAGATGCGCTGATCGAGCGTTTCCTTGCCTCTATTGATCCCGCACGCCGGTGCGCCTGGTGTCGTGACGTGCTCACCTACCTGCTGACGGATCTCAAGCCGCCACCCTCGCTCGCGCACCCACCGAAAGGCAGTGCCGTGCGTATTACGCGTGAGGGGACACACAAGGGGCGGTGTGGCCACATACACACGTTGCTGGGCTCCGACTACAACATTAAGTTCCGAGACGCTGCCGGGCACGCCGAGTATCACAGAGCTCGCCGCGAAGATCTCGAGGTACTTGCGGATGCTCACGAGCTGTGCGGCCTCCATATCTGTCCACTGCGCGACGGTCGCGTGTGCGCGCTTGCAAAGGCGCACGACAACGCGCCCACCGACAGCCTCCTTCTGAATCTTGAGCCAGGCCAATCGCCCAACACCGGGGCTACCCTTCAGGAGGGTGCACACGAGCATTCAGTTGTCGGCTGTGGCTTGGATCTGCTGCCCGACTGCCAAGACTTTGTGGACGCCACCGGTGACGAATGCTACAGCGTCGCGCAGCTGTTATGGACGCATCGATCGGCTCTAGCGCTACGCACCTTCTCGCCCGTTGACGCGGCGCGCAGGCTGATCAAGCCAGAGTGGAGGGGCAACTGCGTACCGCGCTCAGAGTGGGAAGGATGCATGCCCCCTGGCTGGCTGTCCACGCTCTGGGGCCATATTGATCGGCTGTACAGGTGTGGTCAGCTATCTATGGCGGAGCTCCAAGAGGTGTCTGAGTGGCCAATGCTGCCGTGTGGCGACTCGGTGGCCCCGCTCGCGATGACAGCCAGAGCCATGGTGCATGACGCCACCCAAAGGGAGGTAGTCGAGGCGCTGTCTGCGCTCGGCATCCTTGTGGCGGACTGCGAATTCAACCCTGTGGCACTGAGTGACGAGCTGGCCCTCACACCCGTTGACACAGCTGGTGTCATTGGGGTGATTCAAGTGGAGGACATTGATTGGTCGTGCCTACAGCCCCATCATCGATCAGCGTTTCTGGACCTCTTTGCGTCTGAAGACGGCACCACCTCCTCGCTTCTCGATAGCATTGCGAGTTTTCCGCTCTTTGAAATGGAGAGTGAGACCGGTCATGTGCCCCTGCCACCGCCGGGTGCTCGCTGGTTTGCACCTGACTTCAGCTTCGAAGGAGTGGATGATGGCCCACGCTTTGTACGGACCGTGCCCGAGCGGTGGCAGACGCTTTTCGTGATGCTCGGGGTGCGCGCGTTCCCATACGTGGACTACCTCGTGCAATATGTGCTTGCCCCAAGCCGGTGGGCAGCAATGGCCGATGATGACAGGAAACACGTTCTCTCGCAGCTCCGTGAAGCTCCTCAACTCCTCGGCGAGGCGCTATCGGACACCAGGTGCGCCATCACGTTCGGCGAGTGGCTTTCCAAGGCACCCTTGTTTGGCACGTGTGACAGCAGTTCAATGCGCCCCGCATGCGAGTTGCTGGATCCACGTGTCGCGTTGCACCTGCTGACGGCTTCACGCCGCTGTTCACCGCGTGCGAGACCGGCCACCTCAAGTGCGCCCACAGCTGCTTCTCGAGACCAGCGCGGCGGTCGACCAAGCTGCGGGCAGCGGCTTCACACCCCTGCACGTCGCGTGCCTGGAGGGCCACCCCACCGTCGTGCTCTGCCTGCTGCGGGCGGGCGCTGACACGGCGGCGCGCACCTCGGACGGGCGTACGGCGCTGCAGCTGGCAAAGGAGCAGGGCCACGCCGAGTGCGAGCGCGCACTCGAGGCGGCGGCGAGGGAGGCAGATGCGGCGCGGCACGCTGAGGAGCTGCTGGCGGAGGAGGAGGCGGAGGCACGTGCCAAGGTGAAGAAGAAGGCCAAGAAGAGGGGCAAGAAGAAGTCCTTGGCTGCAGAGGCGCCGGCTCCGAGGGAGGAGGAGCCGCCGGCCGACTTCATCTGCCCGATCACGACCGAGCTCATGAGTGACCCGGTGATGGCGGCGGACGGGCATTCGTACGAGCGGTCGGCGATCGAGCGCTGGCTCGCGACCAAGTCGACGAGCCCGATGACGGGCGAAGCGCTCGTGCAAAGCTTCCTCGCCCCCAACCACACGCTGCGCCGGCAGATCCGGGAGTGGGAAGAGGCGAACGCATGCTGAAGAGCTCAGCGCTTGCGCCGCCCGCCCACCGTCGGCCGTCGCGCCGCGGGCGCGGCAGCGGCTTACACCCTCCCGGCCCTCTCTCGCAGAATCGACGTGTGCTTTAAAGCCGTATGCGCAATGCGGTGTACATAGCCTTGCCCCTCTGGCAGTACAGATCAGAGCTCCCGAGCGAGGTGAGGTGGACGCTCTGTCCCACATTCGCGGCTCGCTCTCGCTCTCGGCCTCTCGCCCTCGCGTTGCCGCTTTATTATTATTCTGAGGCTCGGGCGTCGGGGCTGACCAAGCATGAGTTGGTCAAAGTAGTCCAGGAGACACAAAAACGTAGCAGATGAACACAAAATGTGTGTTCGAGGCGTTCGGCGAGAGAGCGGAGGGAGAGCGCTTGTCGCTTGCGTCATCGCGGCGCGCGGGCGGGCCCGTGCCTGCTGTGGCTTGTGCGGGCCGCTCGCGCCCAGCGCTCCACCGCCGCCCACCGCCCAGTGCGAAATCGACGCGGAGCGTATACAGTTCCCCTCTCCCCCTTCTCCTCCGCTCACCAGCCTCGGAATTTGTACTGGACGAAGGGCACCTGCGCAGGGCCAGGCGGTGTGGCTGAGCTCGCACGGAGGTGCTGGAGTCGCCCTGGGAGGCATGCGCTCCACCTCCACGTCCTCGTCGTCCTCGTCGTTGCAGCAAATCTCAAACGTGAGCGAGTTTTGCGTCGGCTTGAACTCCGCCTTCGAGATCTCCTGCACCAACTGACTCATCGTCATCGGCATCCGCTCCTGCGGCGGCGGGCGGCGGCGGTGAGGGCGGCTGGGGCGGCGGCGGATTTCAGCGGAGGTGGCGAGTGCGTGGGGGCGGCGGCGGCGGGCTGTGTGCGCGCCTTGAGCTTCTTCTGGTTGGTGAAGAAGGAGTAGAGGATGGAGACGCCGCTCGAGATCATCGTCACCTCGAGCTTGTGCCGCTCCTGAAGATAGGCGAGGCGCTCCTTGAGGATGTGTCCAGGGAGTGTCTAGGGAGTGTCTAGGAGGTGTCTAGGAGGTGTCTATAGGAGGTGTCTAGGGAGGTGTCTGGGAGGTGTCTGGGAGTGTCTAGGGACGGCTCCTGGAAGTAGGCGAGGAACTCCTTGAGGGTGAGCTCTCTGCCCTCGTCCACCTCGTACCGGTCCCACAGCGTCCACTCGGCGCCCTTTGCGCCGATCTTGCGCTTGGGCGCGGCGATGGGCTCCGAGAAGGACACGAAGGGGAGGGCGAGGTTGACGAAGCCGTTCTTGAAGGACTCGATCGGCTTGGCCGGCTGCATGAGCTTGAGCAGCTCGAGGCAGACGAGCCTAGGACACGTCGCAGACACTTCCCAGACACTTCCGAGACACTTCTCGAGCAGCTCGAGGCAGGTCGAGCCCGGTGACGAGCGAGGTGGTGGTGGCGATGGCGGGGATGATCTTGCCCGCGATCTGCTTGGTGCGGTGGTGGTCCGCCTCGGTGATCTTGTAGTTGCGCGCGCGCAGGTTGGAGGCGGCGGCGATGAAGTCGATGTGGAAGTTGGTGTCGTCGTCCTTCTCAAAGTCGACCTGTCCACCGCCACGAGCTGTGAAGAAGCGTGTGGAAGGGTGGTGTGGAAGGGTGGTGTGGAAGGGTGGTGTGGAAGGGGGGTGGTACAGAACCTTCCCAAAGCCGGCCGGCGTCATCCGGAGCCTGCAAGCTATATCTCGGCTATATCTCGGCTATATCTCGGCTAGATCTCGGCTATGTCTCGCCGGAGTCATCCGGTACCCCGCGAGCGACGACGGCGCAGGCAGCGTGGCCACGATGGCGTCGCTCGCCTGTGACTCGTGAGGAGTAGCTGGCGAGGAAGCGTCTAGGGAGTGTCTAAGAAGTGTCGCTCGCCTCGTCCTCGTCGGGCGGCGGCGCGGCCGGCGCCTTCTCCGCCTCCTTCGGGTCCGTGGCGATCTTGACGCCTTGCTTCGGGACAAACTCGGGCACCATCGCCGCCTCGACCGCCTTCTTGAAGAGAGCGGGGTCGGTCGAGCCCTTGAGGCCTAGTCTCGGGTAAGTCTCGGGGTAGTCTCGGGTTAGTCTCGGGCGGGGCCAGTCGAGCCCTTGAGGGCCGTAGTTGAAGGCACGCAGGTTGGCGGCGGCGATGATGAAACCGAGGTGGAGCGGGTCGTCCGCCTAGTCGAGATATGGGGAGATATGGGGAGATATGGCGAGATGTGGCGAGGTGGAGCGGGTCGTCCGCCGAGAACTGGAGCGGCGTCGGCGGCCGCTTGGGGCCCGACCAGAAGGGGGCACCTAATTAAGAGTTAATTAAGCCTAATCAAGAGTTAATTAGGCTTGGGGCCCGACCAGAAGGGGGCACCTGCGAGGCGGGGGGTGGAGGAGGGGGGAGGGGGGCGTCTCCTCGGGAAGGGAGTGCCGGGCGGGCGCGACGGCGGGAGGGGCATCTGCCGGACGAGGTGGCCGTGTCGGAGTGTCTAGGGAGGTGTCTAGGGAGTGTCTAGGGAGTGTCTAGGGAGTGTCTAGGGAGTGTCTAGGGAGTGTCTAGGGAGTGTCTAGGGAGTGTCTAGGGAGTGTCTAGGGAGTGTCTAGGGAGTGTCTAGGGAGTGTCTAGGGAGTGTCTAGGGAGTGTCTAGGGAGGTGTCTAGGGAGTGTCTAGGGAGGTGTCTAGGGCGTGTCGGGGGAGTGTCTAGGGCGTGTCGGGGGAGTGTCTAGGGCGTGTCGGGGGAAGTGTCTGGGGAGTGTGGGGGGAGTGTCTCGCCGGACGAGGTGGCCATGTCGAGCGGGAAGTTGAAGATGAGCTGCGCGATTTGGTTGTGGAAGAGCTCCTGCGGGCAAGGAGTTAATTAAGAGTTAATTAAGCGTTAATTAAGATTTGGTTGTGGAAGAGCTCCTGCGGGCAAGGCTCCGAAGGAGGGCTCAGAAGAGGCCCCAGACGGGCGGGAGCACGGCGCTGGAAGAGCCGAGCCCTGCCCGAGGGAGTGTCTAGGACGTGTCTGGGGGGTGTCGAGGAGGTGTCTAGGGCGTGTCTAGGGCGTGTCTGGGGGTGTGTGCAAGGGAGAGCTCCTCGAAGCGGAGACGCGCCCAGACCACACACTGCTCGAGCGAGATCGGCTTGTCGACGAGGTTCGCGGCGAGGGCCTCGAGCGTCGTCTTGCGCACGCCGGGCTGCCTAGGAAGAGGAAGAAGAAGAGCGGCGCGTCAGAGGAGAGGAGACGCACGGCCGCGAGGCCTTTCGCCCGCGTGGCCGCCTCTCGAGGTTGGAGAGGAAGTCTGGCTGGGAGAGGTAGGCGTTGACGTCCTATTAATTAATAACTATATTGTTAATTTATATTCATTAATTAGGCTGGGAGAGGTAGGCGTTGACGTCCTCGGCGCCCTGCCGGAAGAGGCCCTCGAAGCAGTCGCGGCTCCACTGGATGGTGTGCCTAAGTCAGAGCTCATTACGAGTGAATCACGAGAGTGAGTTCAAGCAGTCGCGGCTCCACGGGATGGTGTGCTCGATCTGGTTCGGAAAGTTCTTGAGCGTGCAGACCGGGATGCTCTTCTCGGGCGGGTCCCGCGACGAGCCTAATCAAGAGCTGATTCAGAGCTGATTCAGAGCTAATTAAGAGCTGATGAAGACTTCTCGGGCGGGGCGGCGAGACGAGCCGTAGCTCTCGGTGAGCTTCGGGACGACGACCTGCACGTTCCCCTTCGGGCCGAGCGTGCCTGTTCACAGCCCCGCGGGTGTGAAGAGACGCCGTTCACAGCCGCACCTTCCCCTTTGGGCCGAGCGCGCCGCTCTCGAGGAGCGACTTTTGGTAGTAGATGCAGCGCTGGTCGACGTACAGCCGCGCCTGCACGTTGTCCAGCGCGTTGCACACGCCGGAGAGGCGGCCCCAGAAGGCGTCGTCGAAGATGCCTTATTAGTTAATTAGCTAATTATTACATTATTGAATAAAAGAGGCGGCCCCAGAAGGCGTCGTCGAAGATGCCTGATTAGTTAATTAGCGAATTATTACATTATTGAATAAAAGAGGCGGCCCCAGAAGGCGTCGTCGAAGATGCCTGATTAGTTAATTAGCGAATTATTACATTATTGAATAAAAGAGGCGGCCCCAGAAGGCGTCGTCGAAGATGCCTTATTAGTTAATTAGCTAATTATTACATTATTGAATAAAAGAGGCGGCCCCAGAAGGCGTCGTCGAAGATGCCCTCTGTCTCGGCGCCCACCCGATCCAGCCTCGCCTCCACCTTGGCCGCCTAATTAAGAGCTAGGTAGGAGTTAATTAAGAGTTAATTAGGTCGAGCCTCGCCGCCACCTTGGCCGCCGGGTTCATCGCCCCGATCGCCGCCGCGGCGCACGCCGACTTTGCCTTGGTCACGTCCCACGGGCTGTGAATAGAAGAGCTGTGAATAGACGAGCTGTGAATAGCAGGCCGACTTTGCCTTGGTCACGTCCCACGGGCGGAAGAGGAACTGGCGGTTCAGGTTCGACTTCTCGATTGTGTCTGGGTCGGTGACCGTGACGTGCCCGCCCTCGCCTAAGTAAGAGCTCCTCCAGAGGTCATTCAGAGCTACTTAGGTGACCGTGACGTGCCCGCCCTCGCCGCAGCCGATGCCCATCATCGCCCAGTTCTTGAGCATCTCGCACCTAGCTCAGCAGAGCAAGGCTCCTAGAAGGCTCCCAGAAGGCTCCTAGAAGGCTCCTAAGCATCTCGCACCTACCCCAGCAGGCTCCTCGCAACTTCAGACACAGCGCAGAGACGGCTCCCCCGCCCTCCCCGAGAGAGAGAGAGAGAGAGAGAGCGGCTCTCGCACCCGATCGCGCCCGCCCCGACGAGCAAGTAGCCATATCTCCCCACATCTCGCCACATCTCGCCACATCTCGCCATATCTCGCACCCGATCGCGCCCGCCCCGACGAGCAAGTAGCGCAGCGAGCCGAGCTTCTCTTGCGTGCTCCAGCCGAGCGCCGCCGCCTGCGAGTCGTGCCGCGAGCTGTGAATAGAAGAGCTGTGAGTGGAAGAGCTGTGAAAGAAGAGCCTGCGAGTCGTACCGCGAGCCGCGCGGCGCCGTCTCTGCGGGCGGAAGCGCCTCCTTGCCGTCGGCAGGCAAGCACTCCTCCGCGTCGAAGTAGAGCCACTGCTTCAGCGGCATGAACTTGCCGCTGGCAGCCTTCATCACCTCCTGCGCAGCCATGCCGCCAAAGATGGCGCACATCGGCGCGAGCTCGCCGCGCGCCCCAGACGCCTAATGACCAGCTCATGAAGAGTGAGTTCAGAGTGAATCAGGCGCGAGCTCGCCCCGCGCCCCAGCCGCCAGGTTGCGAAGCAGCCGCTCCGACGCCTCCGCCTCCGGGGAGCCGGCCGCGCCGAGCGACTCGACGGCGCCAGGCAGCTCCCGCGCGCGTGTGAGCACCTCTGCTGCGGCTGCGGCGTCGGAGGGCGGGGGCAGCTGCCCGTGGGCTGCACGGTAGGCGTCGAGAGCCTGGAGGCCGATGCAGCTGTGAGTTGAAGAGCGGTGAGTTGAAGAGCGGTGCGTTGAAGAGCGGTGAGTTGAAGAGCGGTGAGTTGAAGAGCGGTGAGTTGAAGAGCGGTGCGTTGAAGAGCGGTGAGTTGAAGAGCGGTGCGTTGAAGAGCCTGGAAGCCGAGGTGCAGCTGCATCGGCCGCTCGAACTTTGCGAAGTCCGAGACGAGGAAGTCGGGCGCAGCGAGAGCTTGCGGGAGGGGGAGGAAGGAGACCGCCTGCTTCTGCTTGACTTGGTGCATGTACCCCCCGGACGTGTACGCGCCGTAGCCGCTCGTGTCCCCGATGGAGAAGGAGAAGGGGCCGAGCACCTCGATCGGGCGGGGGCCGGACCCGTTCACTAAACTAGTTCATTAAACAAACGGATTCATTAGGGGCCGAGCACCTTGATCGGGCGGGAGCCGGACCCGTTGAGCTCGGTCATGCCCTGCACCTCGGTGAAGCAGACGTGGTCTCCGTCCGAGAGGCCGTGCCTAGAAGGTTCCAAGAAGGGTCCTGGAAGGGTCCTCGGCAGACGTGGTCCGAGAGGCCGCGCCGAGTCTCGTCATGCATCGTCACGATGCCCTCCTAATTGACCAATGAATCGCAGTTCAGTCTTCAAGACTCCTCGTCTCGCCGTGCCTCGTCACGACGCCCTCCTCGTCCTGCGAGACCGAAGTCAGCATCCCACTCACCGGCTCCTCGCCTAATCAATCGTTAATTAATCGCTAATTAACAGTTGATTAATAGCATCCCACTCACCGGCTCCTCGCCGTCCGCGTCGACGACCTCAAACGCGGCGCCTGTTCACAGCTCTCCCATTCACGGCTCTTCGATTCACGGCGTCCGCCGCTGGGTCCTCAAAGGCGCGGCGCCGAAGTCGCAGAACAGGCCGCCGAAGAGGCCGTACGTGTCTGCCAGGATGAAGCGGCCCCCGGACTTGCGGCACGCCTCGTTGATGCGCGTCGCCTCGCCGAGCGGCGCGCCTAAGGGAGGCTCCTGCAACCCTCCTGCAAGGCTGCTACAAGGCGGGTCGCCTCGCCGCAGCGGCGCGCCCGTCACAACAACGATCCCGAAGGAGGCGATGGCGTCGGCGGTGAGGTCGCCCTCGAGCTCGGCGACGGGGACGTACTGGTTGAGCTCGGCGAGCCGCGGCGCCGTTGCCGTGGCGCGCCGCTTGCCCACGTCCTCCTCGCGCAGGAAGAACTGCGCAGACAGGTCGGCGAGAGTGGCCGGTGCAGGGTCGTAGAGCGTCACGCTCTTGACGCCGCCGAGGACGACGTTCTTCGCAATCTCCACGCCGAGGCCCCGCAGGCCGACAATCTGCATGCGCGCGGCGGCGAGGGCATGCGGCGCCGAGGGGGGCGGAGGTGCGGGAGGCGGGATCTGAGGGCGGCGGCGGCAAGGAGGCGGCAGCAAGGGAGGCGGTGGCGGAGGAGAGGGAGGGAGGCGGAGGCGGGAGAGGGGGAGGAGCGAGGGTCCGTACCAACACGCTCGATGCCATCATCTTGCGCATCGCCTCGTGCCCAAGCACGTAGAGCTGGCGGCTGTACAGCGCCTCGTCGATCTTGGCGCCGTCCGTCTCCATGTCCTGCACGGTGTCCGCCATTTGTCTGTGGAGCAGGCGAGAGGGGCGCGGCGAAGTGGGCGGGAGGGAGGGAGGGAGGGGGGGCGGGGGGGCGGCAAAGAACGGGGCGGGAGAGGCGGGGCGGGAGAGGCGGCCTTGTGGATCGACGGCGCCGTCAGGAGCGCGGGCCGTGCGCGAGTTTCTTCTCGAGGGCCTCTGAAAAGGGGCCGTCTGCAAACTGCTCTAGCCTCACACATCACTTCCTGTCGTCTGTTGTTTGAGTTGTGCCCTTGTTTGTGCCCTTGGCACCGTGGAGTGCTGGGGGGGGCGACAGGGAGGATGTGGCCCTGAGTTATGTGTACGCAAACTCAGGGTGTGTGGCAGCCAGCTGGCTGTGTGTCTTGTGAGCTTGTTTGTGTCTGTGTGTCGCTCGTGCGTGTCGTCATCATCTGTCTAGCGTCCACCCATACCGCGTTGGTGTCCAGTCCGAGCCTGGCTGTTCTTCACCTTACTACCTACCTACCTACCGTCTGCTGTGTCCTTTGTAGTGCCAGTCCCGTACCCGGTGTCGTGTGAGAGAGTTTTGTTGTAAAATTCTTTCTCGAGGTTCTCGAGGTGGATATCCTTTGGCCGCGTTGGGTAGCGAGGATTGGTGTAACCCGAGCCACGGAGGCGTGTTTTCTGACTGACCTGTGCCATGTGCCCAGCCCTCTCCACGCCGCGATGCGCCCCCCCCCCCTCGCCTTGCAAAGAAAGGTGGGCACGTGTCTGTCCTCGGCTCGCTACTAGTAGCGAGCGAGCCGAGGACAGAGAGAGAGAGAGAGAGAGTTTGTAGTTTGTTTGTTTGTTTGACAGACACGAGTAGCGAGCGATGGCCGAGATCAACCGAGATATTATCCGCACAGCAACCTACACATATGTTATACTTTGTCTCTTTCCTATCTATTGCTCGCAGCGACCGGCATCTTTCTCACACACATTTCAGCTGCTGCGTTCGGCACGAAGCTAAACTCTGAGCTGGAGCAATCGATTATGTGGCGGCTGATCTGCCTAAACGTAGCTAAAGCTCCTTTCGCGCTTGGCGTTTGCGCTCTCCAACGCACTTTATTGACGGGCCAGCCGGATTGAGGACCTCGCCGTGAGGACCTCTTTTAGTGAGGACCTTCCCTTCCTCACTTATACTTGCCTCTGAGGAGTTGAGCTTGAGGGGGCAAAATTAGTGAGTGATGGATGTGATGATCAACCTTCTCGAGGGAGCACTCGGGCGGTATGCTACCTCGGTATATGCGCCGAGCCCATCGTATCTGGAGGGTAAGGCGGGTGAGGACCTCTCTGAGGACCTTTTCTCGCCTTTTAGCATTTAGGATCTCTCCGATGACGGGATGTAGCGGCCTAGACGAGACATCGGAGAGAGAGAGAGAGAGAGAGAGATTTTTAGCAATACCAAACAACTCTAACACTCACACGTAATTTGGGGCCTGGAGCCCTGTTCACGCGCGCGCGAGACGTGCAGACAGGGTTGCCAGGTGAGAGCGAATGGCGCGGTTCACGCCTCGCACAACAGAGAGAGAGATGCGCTCTGCATGGTGGGACATAAAAGAGAGCGAGTACTTGGGCGAGTAGGCCGAGGGCGGGCGCGCAGAGAGGCCTTGCCGCCATCGCGTTGCCGCGAAGCTACACCGTCGACTTGGAGCACTTGGAGTGCAGTCATTAACCTCACATCCAGGGCCGGGGAGCTGAGAAGCGCACCCAGCGGGCCGGATGATCGGGATCGGGTTACGGGCTAGAGACAGAGCCCTAGCCCCGGGGGTGCGCGTTCGCAGGGCAAGGGCCGTAAATTAAACACGGGTCTCCGAGGGTTGGCCCCGCGTACCGGGTTTCCCCTTAACTGCAGGACGCCCCCTCTACTCGGAGCTAATGAACATTGATTGATTGATGGGAAGGCGAATGAACACCACACGGCAGCCATTTTTCTTTATTTTCGCGCTCTTGCTTGTCTCATCCCGCAGCTTCCGCGCCGCCTGCTCGGCCATGTCCTCGTCCCGCCCCTCCTCCGAGATGGAGAGCTACATCGCGGCGTACGCCGGCCACACGCGGCTCAAGCGGCTGCAGTTCATCGCGCAGCACGAGCCCACGCTGCGAGCGGAGGCTCTGCGCATCGCGGTGGAGCAGGCACGGCAGGGCATAAACACGGCGCTGTACCAGGAGCTGTGCGCGACGGAGGGCTGCCCGGTGGCCCGCGACGACGCGTGGGTCGACTCGGTCGAGAAGAAGGCCTCCGCACGCCTCGACAAGCTTGAGTCGGACCTCGCGTCGCACAAGACGTCGCTGGTCAAGGAGTCGATCCGGATGGGGCACTCCGACCTGGGCGACTTCCACGCCTCGCGCGGCGACTTCGCCACCGCGCTCAAGTGCTACGTCCGCACGCGCGACTACTGCACCACCTCAAGACACACCCTCTCCATGTGCCTCGCCGTCGTCAAGGCGCCGCCCACCACCCTCCTCCACCTTTTCCCTCCCCCTTTTCCCTCCCCCCTTTCCCTCCTTTCCCTCCTTTCCCTCCTCTCCCTCCACCTTTTCCCGCCCGCCGGCCCCAGCCCCTGCCGCCGCGGGGCTTTTGCTGCCCTCGCCCCGGGCCTTTTTTTTTCCGCCACCACTTTGCGGGTCCCGCTTTGCCCCCCCCCCCAAAACCCACCCCCCCCCCCCCCTCACACAGGTCTCCATCCACATGGGCAACTACAC